TTCTTTTTCCCGATTTTTCCATTTGCTTCAACATTTGCTGGCTTACACCGAAATACTTTCAAGAACTTCAAGAGCATACTTCAAGAACTTCAAGAACTTCAAGAACTTCAAGAACATGCTTCAAGAACTTCAAGAACTTCAAGAACATACTTCAAGAACTTCAAGAACTTCAAGAACATACTTCAAGAGCTTCAAGAACTTCAAGAACATACTTCAAGAGCTTCAAGAACATACTTCAAGAACTTCAAGAACTTCAAGAACTTCAAGAACTTCAAGAACATACTTTCTCCACCCTTCTCTTATTGTAAACTTGCATCCAAACTGTCATCCAAACTATCGAATCACGAATTTCTCTTCTTTTTTTTCAAATCTCTTCCTATCAACCTATCAACCAGTCGATTTTTCTATCGTTTTTCTCAAATTGTCGACTTTTCCCTTTCAAATCTCCAATCTGATTCTTTTCTATTCAATCTTGGCATCATTATGGAGACTTTTTGAATATCTTCTTTGATTTGAGTCTCCTTTTACATCAATTTTTTTATCATTTCATTTTTTATCATTTCATCCGACCATCATATGAACCTTTTAAACCTTTTAACATTTATCCATTTTAATATACCGTATTTCTTCGAATAGAAGACCGGGTAAAGAGTATGATCGCGTACTCCTGCGTAGCAGCCCTTTTTAAAATCTCTTTTCTGCATAAAAGCTTTCAATCAAGTGCTATAGAGCTGGAAAATGGCTCAAGAATGGCTCAAAAAAATCTGTTAGCTCATGTGGTATTTTTGAGTCATTTTCCAGCCCTATAGCACTTGATTGAAAGCTTTTATGCAGAAAAGAAATTTTAAAAAGGGCTGCTACGCAGGAGTACGCGATCATACTCTTTACCCGGTCTTCTATTCGAAGAAATACGGTAAACAGTCTCCTTTTTCCTTAACATTCCCGAGATTATTGTTCATCTTTCTTTCAGAATTTCTATTTAATTTTAAACTATTTGATTCTATTTGATTTTTCTATTTGATTTTTCTATTTGATTTTGACTATCATCTGAATATTTAACCTTTTAACATTTATCCATCATTTCCAAGATAATCATTGGGTCGCGTCCGTTTCCTTCCTATTTGCGTTGCTATTTTGCAATTATTCGCGTCGCATTTTTCGCCCTTTTCTCCCTTCCCGAAATTGTTTTTTTTGGTCTGCGGGTTGCTTTTGCCTTCCCTCTGGGGGGACTTGGTTGTTTCTTTTGATGCGCATGCTGTTTTTGTAATGGGTATTGTTGCATTTTGGTTTTGTACTAATAAACAGTAAAATTATAAACTCAACTTACTTTATGCTACCCTTCAGGTTTTAAATCCTGTTTAGATAACTGGTTTAACATTGTAGAGAGAGCTTACTAACATTTGTGTCGCCACCGACGAGTATTAATCTTGTGTTGGATGCTGCTCGTTCTTGTTATGTTGTAAGCGCTTTGGGGAAACCCTTTTTAACCTTCTTTGTGCAATTCGGCTATTCTGAAGCAAAATCATCCTCGATGATAAGGTTAAAGCGGGTCGCACCCGCACTATTGAAATAATCATTGAAATAGTCATTGAAATAGTCATTGAAATAAATGACAGTGCACATTTGTCATCACAAAGTACTTTGTTCCTCCATCTCCATGGCTCACCATCAGCTCAAATCCAAAACCCTGTTCTCTCAAAAGATAAGGAACCTATTTCTTTCTTTATCCTCACATTTGTTCCGTTTTTCTTCAAAGAGATATCTAGAAATGGGTGTGTCTAGAATTCTTCGCCATCATCCTCCAAAAAGAAAATCCCTCCCGAAAAACTAGCATTCACACTCGGTTTTTTTTCCTTTCTTGATTCCCTCTTTTCTTCGCTTGTCAATTCCTCCGAAACTTTAAAGGGAGCTGAATGAGAAAATGAAAGGATAACGGTGAGAATGAGACAGAGAATCGAGAATTCTCTTTAAAAAACCGGTTTCTCTCATCTCTTGAATCTTTTAAACTATAGAAGTACGGGGTTTTTTTATGGTTATTTGAAGCCTGATAATTTTCAAATAAAAAATAATACAGTAAAATGAATTCCTTCTCACGCTTATCGATTTTAAAGCTAATTGTTTTTTGATTTGTGTATTTGTTTTTGATTTGTGTATTTGTTTTTGATTTGTGCAAGGTCCCCCACAATTCCACATTCGATCATTTACTACGTTTAACTGCTTTATGTCTTTTTTTTTCCTTTTTTCTTTTTTTCTTCTTATTAATTCGTTGATTTGATTGTTTTTAGGTATCAAGTCGAAGAAAAAGCTGCGCTCTGCCATTATTACTCTTCATCAGCAAGGAAAAACACTCGCAGAGATATCTCGAATCTTGCACGAAGAGACAGGGCTTTTTTTGCGCTCTTCAGAGCCTTTTGGCTTCAGCCTTGCAAAAGAAACGGACTCAATGAAGAGCGTAAAGGACGAGGTCCACCAAAGATTGCCAACAATTCAACAAATCGTCGAAAGATTTTTGATCGACTTAAAAGGATCCCCAACTCGTCAAAGAATTCTGTTCGAAAAATGGCCAAGTTCAGTATTGGAAGTTTGGTTCCTCGAACCCTCAAAACAACCGGAAAGCCAAAAATCGGATAAAAGAACATTTTTTGACAGATTCAATGAAAAGAAAACTTTTGGAACGTTGCAAACGACTTTTAAGGCTATTTGGCCGACACCGGAGGCTCCTCTGCAAGCCCACAACCATCAGAATGATCGAATTTGCTCCGAAGAACCTCTTTCGTTAGACGACAGAATTGTTTCAAGACAACAAAAGCCTCAACAAATCATGGTTTAGGCTACTCATCGCGGAAAGATGCCCTTGATCTTCGCTGGAGTCAAAATTGACAAGAAAGTTTACGTCCATATGCTTGAAAGAGAGGTTTTGCCTTGATCTTGCACTTTGGTGCCAATAATGAATTTTCAACAAGACGATGCTCCATCTCACAAGGCTGTTGATACACAAGATTTCCAACAACTTCCCAGATTGCATCAACGTCGGCATCAGTCAACAACTCCCAGGCCATCAAACAAGGCGAATGGCCATCAAACAAGGCGAATGACCATCAAACTCACTCGATCTCAATCCCTTAGACTACTCAATATGATTGATTCTTGAGAGCAAGGCATTTGCTAAAGCCAACAAATCAATGGACTCTTTGAAAGGAGATTTAATCGAAGGCATTGAATGAAATCTCTATCATCACTATTGAAAAAGTCATTTATGATTTCCGAAAGCGTTTAAGAAAATGTATTGCTATGCTAATGATGGCCATTTTGAACTTTAAAGCTTTTTTTTAAAGTTTTGATTACCGTAAATACTGTAATAGTACCCCACCCCCAAAATGACGGCGCGGAGTGTTGCGTAGTCTAGCTTTGAACGCGTTTTTCTCGACACTGGTTTATGCTACAATAGCAATACAATTATCAAAAAATAGCCCTGAATTTCAGCTATTTTTTCATACCAAAGACACATTTTTTGAAAGTACGGGCGCTTTGAAAAAAAAAAATGAAATACTAGAAAACTTTTGCGACTACGCGACTGTACGAGGGGTTGGGGTACTATTAAAGTATTTACGGTACTTATTTTTTTAACAAAATAAGCTCGCTAGACTTTTTTTGATATTTTGTCACCATAATTTTGTGAAATCTTATCTAAGTTGACAACAACTTAAATCTATATCATCTGATATAAAATTGAGAATAGCAAAAAAAAAAGCGATAAAGATGAAAACGATGAGCCAAATTCCCATTTTGCTCTTTGTTTTGCCGATTTCTTCACAGAGAGATAAATGACCTAATTCCGGTGAAAAAGCGGGGAGAAATCTGCAAAAAAAAAAGAACTCGAATAAACGGTGGTGATCGCCGAGAATTGGCGGAGAACACAGCTTGATGCTTTCTTTTCTTTTCATGGAAAAGTCGATGAATCGCTGATTTTTCATTCGTTTCACTCAGAAAAGTATTTGAACAGTTCACAGATTGTATGAGAAATGGAAAAGAATAAAAGTTAAAGGTTTTTTTTAGTTGTTTAGTTTAATTTAGTTAGTTTATTTGGTTTAGTTAGTTTAGTTCGTTTAGTTGATTTAGTTGGTTTAGTTAGTTTAGTTAGTTTGGTTCGTTTAGTTCGTTTAGTTAGTTTGGTTCGTTTAGTTAGTTTAGTTCGTTTAGTTAGTTTAGTTAGTTTAGTTAGTTTAGTTCGTTTAGTTAGTTTGGTTCGTTTAGTTAGTTTGGTTAGTTTAGTTAGTTTGGTTCGTTTAGTTAGTTTAGTTAGTTTAGTTCGTTTAGTTAGTTTGGTTCGTTTAGTTAGTTTGGTTCGTTTAGTTAGTTTAGTTCGTTTAGTTAGTTTGGTTAGTTTAGTTAGTTTAGTTCGTTTAGTTCGTTTAGTTAGTTTAGTTAGTTTAGTTAGTTTAGTTCGTTTAGTTAGTTTGGTTAGTTTAGTTAGTTTAGTTCGTTTAGTTAGTTTAGTTCGTTTAGTTAGTTTAGTTAGTTTAGTTCGTTTAGTTCGTTTAGTTAGTTTGGTTAGTTTAGTTAGTTTAGTTCGTTTAGTTCGTTTAGTTCGTTTATTTGGTTTAGTTGGTTTAGTTTTGTTGTTAAAGTTGTTTAAATGTTTAAAAATCGCCGTTTTGACTGTAAAAAATGACTCTTTTGATAATGAAAGTGATTTATTGACCTTTTTCCTTCTATTTTCTAATCTTTACGTTTCTTGATGCCATTCATTTCTCATGATTTATTTTGTGTTTAAACAATCGCTCTCTGGCACACCAATAACAATTTTTTCATTTAAAATAAGGAATCAGGTTCCCTAAATGACTTTAATCAAATCAAATCTGCCAGAAAGTGTGCGTTGATTCGAGCACAAAGTTTATTCGATTTTTTTTATTTTCGTTTATTCGTTTATTCGTTTAGTTTATTCGTTTATTCACTCGATTTCAGGCAACTTTTCATTCGGATTTCCCTTTTTTTTGGGAATGCCTTGGTGGTGTCTTTTTCTTCTTTTTCTTCCCACAATCAATTCACTTTCATACAAATGTGAAAATAATCAGGTAAATTTTCATAAAACGAATCAATGATAAATTTCTTTTTTAGATTCTTGTCGTGCAATCCTTTGGAAATGACACGATTCGAATGCATTGTCAACGTTTGGATTTATGTGGATATCAGCAATTGGTTGGGGATTTTGGAAACTCTAGATTTTCATTGAACTTTCTAGAAATGTGAATACGATAAAATGCAACCGCATTGTGGAGGAAAGACGAATTTCGTCTCGCATGTCAATCAGAATACGCCGACTGGATTGTAAGTGATTGTTGATTGTTGATTGTTGATTGATTGATTGATTGATTGATTGGTTGGTTGATTGATTGTTGATTGTTGATTGATTGATTGATTGATTGATTGGTTGGTTGATTGATTGTTGATTGTTGATTGATTGATTGATTGGTTGATTGATTGATTGATTGATTGGTTGATTGGTTGGTTGATTGATTGGTTGATTGATTGATTGATTGGTTGGTTGATTGATTAGTTGATTGATTGATTGGTTGGTTCATTCATTCATTCATTGATTTATTGATTGATTGATTTAAAAGTAGTGTAGATTATCGTTATATCAATTTAGAGTCGAGCATACTTGCTGTCAACTCTACAATCCAAATCCGCCGAATCATGTGCCAACTCATGATGGAAATGATTGTTTTATCTATGAATTACCGGATGGATCAACACATCCTCAAGGAGAAGTTCTTCAACCATTAACTCCATTGAATGCTGTTTGCAAAAAAAAGATTTGATATTTATTTATCTTCAAATTTAGGAAGATAAACCATTGACGATATTGAAAAGTGCTTCCGAGATTCCATCACAAATTGATGGATATTCTGGATATCGATTGAGACTGTTTCTACTGAGAAATAAAAGTCCGCCAACACTACTTGTGAAAGGAATTGAAAGAAGGATGTAGGGAAAAGATTTTTCGGAAATTAAATTAATGCAAATGATTTAGTGATGGATATCGAGTGACAATTTGTAGACCAAGATGTGGGACAATTCCATCGGGATGGAGAGGGGTTTCGTGGAACAGTTGGAGTGCGTCGAGGTGAATCGAATTGTGAGATTTTTCTTTCATTTATTCAGCTGGTCATCTTGGGCGAAAACCGTTTGGGGAAATGCGGAACATGAGGAAGAAGAAAAAAGGGAACGAGTGAGACAAAGAGAAGGAGAACCAATTGACAAAAGTGTGACTGCTTCAGCTAGTGAGTAATGGAAGAGATTAAAAGTATGATAGAACTGGTAGTTGAAAGTCAAAATCAAGAGCTATGTTATTTTTCACATATTCTTTACAGGTGCCGCCGCCGCCGCTGCTGCTGCTGCTGCTGCTGGAGCTGCAGGAGGAAATGGTGCAAATGGAAATACCGGTGTCACGAATCAATCCGGATCTTCTTCAGCTACAGCTTCTGGTGCCTCTTCTGGCACTTCTGGTGCATCAAGCTTGGGACAAGGAGCCCAGGCTGGTGCCTCAGCTGCGGCTAAGGCTGAGTCGGGCAACTCGAATCAGCCAAATAATGGCACAATGCACATTCATATTCATACAGATGATGGAAGCGAGAAGAAAGATAACGGACCTTTGGTTAAAGGATTTGAAACTAGTGGAAAAGAAAAAGGAACTGAAAAAGGAGATGAGAAGAAAGAAAAGACCGACAAACCAACGACAGCCACTTCTGAAGAGTTTAATGGAAAAGAAAAAGAGAAAACACCGTCAAATCAGAAGGGAGAAGTTGGAGAACCAGCTGAACCAATCGATCCAACAACACCTAATGGAAAAGATAAAAAAGATGAGAAAGAGATAAAGGTTTGGCATTTGAAAGGTTGACTATCGCATAAGATCCTTTAGCAAACTGGTAATGGCGATGTTACACCAAAAACTGATGAAAAGAAGAATGAAAAGAAAGAGATTGTAAGTTTTACTAGAGATTTCATTAATGAAAAAGAAATTTTAGGGCTCAAATGGAGAAGACAAACCGACAATTGGCATTGATGGAGGGGAAGGGACAGAAAGTGAGACAAAGAATGGAACACGTGAGTTGATCTCATTGAGATTTGAAAGATGCTTATGGATTATACAATTGTTCTTGCACATCAACTGCGTTTGAGCTTGAGTTATAGACTAAAAGCTGGGACTCTGAAGTTTCCGGGTGTAAAAGCACGAAAATTATGTAGACATATGTAAGCACTGTTTTGAGTTATAGGCACAAGAATTATCGAAGGAAGACAAGGGCCAAAAGAAGATGGAAATGGAGAGAAAGAGAATGGAGGAAAAGAAGATGGAGATGATGGGTAAGAATTGAGAGAAACGAGAATCGATTGAAAGAATTTGTAGGGTGACAGAGAATGGAGAGAAGTCGACAGAAAGCGCCGAAGTACATGGAAGGACGTGGGTTTTCTGGAGGAAAATATTTAAAAGATATCGATTTCAGAGAAACCAAAGATTTCTCGACTGAGGTTACAGAAACAAAAGGAGATGAGGAGAATGGATGGGCGGAGAATTCGGCTGGAGATAGCGATGAGGACGGAGATCGAGGGGTATGTTTTGTCGTTGAAAGATTCTTTTCTTCATCTTCATCGACATAAAGATCTTTTCAAAAACGTTTTCTTATTGAAATGGATCACTTCAATAAGTTAATGGATTAGATAGTGATAAAATGAAGTCACATCTAAACGACTCTTTGACTTGCCCAAGATTCTTCTTTAGGCTTTACTTTAAACTTTAGAGAACTTCACAAGAAAGTACATAAGATAGTTTTCTCTTGTTCTCTTGGGAATAAAGTAGCTTATATTTAGAGTGTGCGTTTGTTGAGACACAAAGTACGATATCTCTGTTAACATAACAAATTGTAGATATTTGTAAACTTAAGTTTATTTTAGTCTGATGATGATGATGATGATGATGGAGAAGGTGATGGTGATTCGATTGGAGATGGGGAAATGCAGGAGACGAGGAGCCGATGAATCCCGATGAAGATGGCACATCGGAGACTGAACTCAATACGATTATCGGAAAAACACATAAACAGGTAGAAAAGAAATGCAACTATTGACTTCTATCTCTAACGTTTTCCTTTTCCTTTACTAAACCTTTTTTACAGGATTCAAATGAAACCAAGAATGAAACAACAGAAAAAACAAATCCAAAAGAAATAAGAAATGAAAACGAGAATGAAGAATTGATGGAACCAGAGATTACGGTAACTACAGTAGACAATCGGTGGTCATTTTTGGGAAGGAAAAGATGCCTATAGCTTTTTTTTTTGAAACTTAGTTTGCATGAATTTTGATTAACTTAAAACCTCTTCGTAATCTAATCTCACAAATTTTAGTCATTGAATGAGAATGAAGGAAAAGATGATGTCATTGAAAAGAAAAAGAAACGACTCGTAAAGGCTAAAGCAAGAGCAAAAGCTAAAAAGGTACTGTAGGAAATGTTAAGGAATAAAAATTTGAAATAAACTTTTAGGAGGCAGCAAAACGACGCAGAAAATTGCAAGCAGCAAGACAAGAAGCACAACGGAAACACAATAAGGGACAATTTAGAACAATTCAGGCAACAGGTTGTTTGAGAAGAAATAATATCTGAAATGATGAAAACGATTTAGCTGAAAAAGACGATATCCCAGCAGATCCATCTCTAGAAAAGCCAGCGCCCAGACTTCTCGCTGAGCCAGCCGTCGCGGCTGCCGCTCCTGCTGCTGCTGCCGGGGTATTTTTGTATTGAATTTCGTTCTATATGAGCTCAATTTTAGACCATGATCTTAACTCATTAAACAATGCATACCCAGTATTATTTCAGAGAAACTGTTTCGCAGCTGATAGCATTGTTTCCACTCCAAGAGGACCCCGACGAATGGATGAATTGCAAGTCGGAGATCACGTACTTGTGCCATCTGGTAGGGTAAAAAAAATGAATTTAAATTATCGAAGCTTTAGCAAACGGAGTTCCCAAATATGAAATGATCGAAATGTTCTATCATCGCATTCCTGATAGACGGACAAACTTTGTGGTTCTAGAGACTGGTATCAAAAGGGTAGAAAAGCTGGATGAATGAGATATTTCAGAGAGTGGGCACAAATTGTCGGTGACAGCCCTTCATCTTTTACCATTTGGAGACTGTGAAGAGATGGGAAAACTCTTGAATCAAGTGGATATCTAATTGTGAAAATAAATAAAAATATGAATTTCTAGAGTGAGGGAATCGATATGGCGTTGCAAGGGTCTCGTTTCGCGCATCGAGCAAAAATCGGGGAATGTATCTTGAGAACAGCTGAAAATGGAGAAATTCGAGCAGAAAGAATTGTCAAGGTGAGCGTTAACAGCTTCATCGTTAATAAGTGACAGAGATCCCACTTTGTAGTTTTCTACTTAATACCGAAATTTTATCAATATCGATTTTCTAGATTGGCCGTCGGATTTCAACAGGAATCTACTCACCAATCACTGTTGAGGGATCAATTATTGTTGATGGAGTGCTGGCTAGCTGTTTTGCACAGGTACAACCAAAAAATGATAAAATTGGATATTTAATCTGGAGAAATATAAAAATGTTATCTAAAGAGTCACAAATTCCAGGTGGAATCTCACTCAACACACAAAGTTCTCTATGATTTCACCCATTGGGTCTACAAAACATTCAGTCTCACATCAACAAGTCTGTCGCAATTATCTCCTTTCAAATCTTATTCATCAAATTTAGCCACAACCTGGTCTGAAGTTTTCCCTCTACCCCGATTGGTTCATTACATGCACGAGTTGAGTCGACATGTTTTGCCATTCTCTAAACATTAATTAATTTAACCTCATCTTATTTTTCCCTTATTTAAATGTGCTGAGATTCGTCGACGGGTTTTCTCTTTTCTATTTAAAGTCTATTATTTTAATTTATTGCTGTTAGCCGGTGCAATTCAAAAGCTTAAACTTACCAAATACTTTCTTCTTTTTGCAATGCATTTGTCGTTCATCGATAAACACTAAACTTTTTTACCCGTGACAAAGAACCTCAAGTAAAATCACAGTATGAAAAATTAACCCATAGAATAAATAACACATTACTACATAAGTAGTATACATATAATGTACAAGTAATTCTGAACAAATATTGTCGTCTTAAATATCACTCGGCAGTACTCCCGGAAACCTAAAAGCAACAAAGTTTACAATAAAGCAGAAACGTTTAGATCAACCAATTACTCAAAATTGTTTAAAATTTAAGACAATTTATAAACCCACTAGCAGTGTGTTTTCCTGACACTATTCAAGTTGTAAAGTTCATTTCAAAAGATCACCTTGATCGGAAAAAGCTTTTCATAGAACTGTCACTAAAAATGTGCTCCAAACAACGCTTAGCGAGCACTTCTGGACGCTTCAAGCAATACTAAAGTAGTAATTAGCGTTATAAATAATCTTTAAATCAACCGCATAATTTTCATCTTCACCATCTCTGAGTTTACATTGATTCCGACGAATCAAGTCGAGCAATCGAACTTTTTCTCCAGTGTACAATTGATGAAACGTTATAAGCTAAATGAAATTATTTCGATATTGGAATTAGGCAAGCTACCAAATCTCGGACACATTTTTCACCGAAACGGATCTTCAAAGTTTTATGTAGCAACGGGTCGTTGATTAGATGTTGAAATACAGGTGCATAACGATTCAATCCATCCTAAATTTCTAAACTTATAAAATTATTATAAAAGCATGAAAAATTAAAAAAATATAAATTTATGAAGTCAACCTTTGGATCTATTGCGTCGTTGCGTCCATGTTCTTTATCCAGAAAAATTTTTGAATTGTGACTAAAGAAATCCAGGTACTTATCGGTTATATCCCCACAAAATTTGCATCGGACTTAGTTTGTATTTATTTTGGACCCAAAAACCCCAAGCAACGAAGAAAAAAAAGAAAATTTCATACAACTTATTCTCGTTCGGATGGCTTTGTTGCTCTTTTCGCTCCCTTTGGATGAAAAAGGGAAAAATTTCTTCACCACAAAGTAAGGCATAAGGTTAGGACCTTATGGCGACGAAATACGTGTAGGTGTAGCTCATTGGTAGAGCGTTCGCTAAGCAAGAGGTCGCGGGTTCGAATCCCGGCCCCGGCCATCCCAGCCGCCAACCCATACAAGGACCGGCGTGTCCAACTACGAAGAGAACCTCGACCGAGATGCTGTCAAAATGGACATTCAACGAGTCGCGGCAACGGGACCCTTGAGCAAATTTCCGTTTTGTACCCACCCGTGACTATATGATTCTTATTTTTTTTGGGAAAATGCAAATTTTGTGGGGATATAACCGATAAGTACCGAAATCTGTTACTGGGTTTTGAAATTTCAAAAGTATCAAACCTTTTTCCCTTTATTGATTGATCTTCATTCGAAACAATTAGTTTATGATCATCTTCTTTTGAATTGACATCCTAAAAACAAGCAAAATATAAAAATAAACATAAAATCCTTATTTTTAAAGCGAAAATTCCCCACTCGAATTGAAGAATGGTCACGCGGGTGCAATGAATGGCAGCAAGTGTACCAATCTTCGGCTGAAAGGAAACAAAATAACATACAGTCGACTCTCGATATAACGATTCGCTCGGGGACCGGCGTTTGAAATCGTTATATCGAGGTTTTCAATTAGGTCGGGATCAAATTTTGAACAAAAATCGTTATATCGAATATACTGCTAAATTTTCGCTCGAAACAAGATAAAACAGCGAATTAGTCATCGGCTTTGTGTTCATTATGAAAGAATTTGGCGTAATGATAAGAGAGAATAGACATCTAGAAATTTTCCTTTTTTGCCTCGATTTTTTAAAAATTGAGAAATCGTTGTATCGAGAGTCGACCGTAGTTTCTAACAGGCAGCACAATCGCTTATTAAAAGCAGCCGTGGTACTATTGGCTTTGGGGACGGCCACTTTTTTTTCGCCAAAACCACTTTTCTCGGGGTAATTCAGTACGCTGAGCACGAATATGACATTTTTAGGATAGATTTTTTAATCAAAAACGCAATTTTAGAATTTCTAAAATTTTGCAAAAATAAGGAATTAAATGCCAATTTTGGCTTACTGTTGCTGTGGTTGCGCGCTTTTTGATTGACTGTTATCTAAATCTAGTAAATTAGCAACAATAACAAATTGCAAAAAGATTTCATTAAAATGTAAAAAAAAACTAATAAACTGGTCCAAAATCACTATTCGCATTTATAAAGTTGACGGACGGATTCCAAAAATTATTTTCCAAATTCTTGTCGCCACAAAAATTCCTGAAAGAAATCTGCATATTTGATCCGTAGTTGTGGTCATGATATCGCTTATTTTTTTAAATCGATACCAAAGAGATTTCATATTTTGTGTATGTGATCCGTTTGCCGGATTCACGAAGATTCATGCTCAAAATTCCTTATATTTGCAAAATTTTTTAAAATCTGCGTTTTTGGTTAAAAATCTACCCTAAAAATGTTATATTCGTGCTCAGCCTACTCAATTACCCCGGGAAAAGTGATTTTGGCGACAAAAAAGTGCCCTTCCCAAAGTCAATAGTACCGCAACCGTTACTAGCTGCTTCTTTTATATTAAAGAAATAAATAAAACTCACTAGAAGTGTCATGATCACTGTCCAAATCGATGATTTCAGGAACATTTTGCATTTCCATCTTCACAACTACCTAAATCATAATAATATTAACAATGAAATTTACAAAAAGAAACAAAAGTCTTGAAAGCTTAAAAATGAATGACTAGAAAAAAATAGACCAAAGCGACTGATGATTTTAGGTGATTTCAAATAATTTACCTAATGTTAATCCAGTTGCGTATATTTAGTTGATTAACCGAGCATCTTGAAAAGAATGGGTAAGGAAGAATAGTTGTTATTAAACCAAGCTTTTTGCCCTTTATTAATTAAAGCGGGGGTGGGACAAATGCGACCTTTTTTCGCGTTTTAAAAAAGTTCTAAAAAGCTAATATTAACCAATTTCTATTCCAAATGTTGTTTTTCTAGGTAATTTTAGGGCGTAGAATCGAAATTTTGACATAACGGAGCGTGTGGAACCAATTTGAAAGACAAAACGGCTAGATCGAATTACAGAAAATTGTCGATCTTTCTCTTTGTATAACTCCGTCCGTTCGCTTCCACAAGCTCTGATATGTCAAAATTTCGATTCTACGCCCTAAAATTACCTAGAAAAACAACTTTTGGAATAGAAATAGGTTAATATTAGCTTTTTAGAGCTTTTTTAAAACGCGAAAAAAGGTGCGCAAATGTCCAGGTGCGCAAAAAAAGGTCGCATTTGTCCCACCCCCATTAAAGCAAAAAATTTGGCGCAAAGTAGCCACCCCCAGTAAAAACTTTAAAAGCTCAAAACTTTGTTCACTTGAGATCACCTAACCAATTTGGACATGTTATTCGCGGCAAATGTGAAAAAAGGACTGTCGCGTTCACTTTTTAAATCTTTTCCTCGTACATCTCTTACTAAATATAAAACTCGACTATTTACATATATTTTTGCTTTTTCTTAGGATTTCCGGTTTTAGATCTTTAAATCTAAATGATATTTGTTTAGGCAAACGAATGCACGAGTACAACTTCAAGATTCCGGAGAGTTTTAACAAAAAGCCCGAGGATTTGTTCACAAGAAATCGTGAGTTTTCCTTTGGATTTCTTTACCAAAACTATTCGTTTAGATGAAGGTCCAGCTGAGGGATCGGTCATCAATCAACTACAAGAACTGATTGGACAATATTGCAAAGATGACTACGAAAAGTATCAACTATTGGACACTCGCGATAAGCTTCTTTGCAATTTGAGAACGGTTAGTTTTTGCTGAAATTAGTGCTTCAACGTGTGCAGTGAGTTTAGAAATATATTAACAAAGCATCAGCATCATATGCTAGTGTGTTGTCAATCTAGATCTCGCCCGCTCGATTTGGTCGAACTGGAACGTGTCCTGATTTGTGTCCCGAGAAAGAACGCTATGTTCGAATCGTTCAGAAGCGCTTATCAATTTACGAATGTGATCAATATGGAAAACTTATCCCGCCAAAAGCCGTCAAAGTTCGTTGCTGCTTGAAGCTTTGCAATATTTTACGTTAAGGAATATGCCCGCAGTGCTGCTGACCAAGAGCGTCCTCTTCCGCATGAACTTCGGGATGGACAAATCCTTGAAAAGTCGATGGAATATCTTCTAACAACGGTAAAAATCGTTCCACCAATAAGTCCATAGATCGATTTTTAGGTTGTCGATTCGAACCCAAGGCCCGACCAGTTGACATCATGGTACGACTTTCTCTGGTCTCGCACACGCGCAATTCGAAAAGTTTGCTACCGAGACTGACTAAAAATAATTTTTTTAGGAAATAACACAGCAAATGATGGTCGAGCCAAAGTCTGTTTCCATTGTACAAAGGTATCCAAATTATTGAGTGCATCTTTATTTCAATTTTAGATGTGCTCGTTTCCATATTTTTGCTTCCTACGCGTTATGTACTTTAGAAATGGGTGAATTCAATCAAAATATGAATACAGAAAATATTGGAAAAAGTCTACAGGTTGGGTTTTTATTAAATCTATTTTCATTTATTCAACTTAGACTTTACGACACTTGTATGAAGATCTCGCAAAACGAGGAATCGGATGTCGAGAAGAGGCCGAGTTTCGAAGTTATGACATCATGATGCATTTAGATGATACAAATACAACAAACCAGGTATTTTAATGATCATAACTATTAGTTAGTTTATTTAGGCGTTATCGTACCGAAAAGAAGTCCGCGAAAGTGAACACGTTCGTCTTGCTCTTCAATTAGCAACCTCTTTACAAAATGGGAATTATGCCAGGTTTGAGGAGAAATTTTAACGATTTACATCTTAGGTTTAGGTTCTTTCGTCTCTTGAAAACACGAGCTTCTTTTCTCCAGATTTGTGCCTGCCATCGATACTTTGATCGGGTAGATAATTGTGATGTATAGAGTGGATTTGAATATTTTATGTCTCGACTTCATGATCAAAAATTAAGGTACGTGCAAATGCCTATCGAGTGATGGTGAAAGCATATGGGCGCAATAATAATCCATTGGAAGCTGAACGGGTCGCCAATATGCTCGGGTTTGACGATGTTGCTCAATTGGCGGCCAACGCTGGGGCATATGGATTGCGATGTGATGTCGATGGACTGGTTTGATTACTGCTTGTTATTGATACAGCTTGAGTTTAGGATCCTGCTCGAGACACGTACCTTGGAAGGCCTGAAGAAACGCCTCCATTAAAACTTTACGCTTGGATTGACGCAAAAATGCAAGGTGCTCAACTGAGTCAAGTTGGTGATATGTTGACAAATCTTTGTTAGCTGAAAACTTTAGATTCTAACCGCTGGTGCTATGTTGTGTGTTCCTTCACTTGACGCGGTAATCGACTCTTTTGATGAAGAAGGACACTATGTAAAAGATCCAGTTCTTGCTAGTTATGTAAACATGTAAGTGTTTATTATGTAAAACACGAAAACTCTGCCATTTAGGGAGACTGTTCCCAAACCGAAGATTCAACCACGACCACCAAAGAATTCCACCCCCGATCTACCAAAGTTCGTCTTCAACACGGCGCAACCAATCGAGCGAAAGATTGCCCAATGGAGTTCACTCGAAAGACGCAAAAATAGGGTAGCACGCTTTCCTGTTATCTGAAAAAACGCCATTTCTTTAGCTGGCCAATGTTTGCAACGAATTCTTTCTACTAGATGCTAAACAACTTGTTGAACAATCGATAAATGTCAGCGTTTCCAAGGAGTTATCAACTTCATTAACACAAAAAGCAACACAAGAATCAAGGTTTAGTTTATTTGAATGTCAACATCAAAGAGCTTGGTTCTATTTGTGACTTTTAGTGTGATACATGCAGCTCTATCTCGACAAATCTTGGAAGGAAATTTGAAACGAGAAAAGGAGGAAAAAAAAGAAGCACTACGAAATGAAGCGAGAACTCTTTTGCCAAGAATGTTCGAGGAAAAGCTCAAAACGGAGGTCGACAAGCAAATCATGATTATCTTCAAGCAAATCTTTTGGTAGTTTGACTTTATCTGGTTTATTAATACAATAAAGTTTTAGCGCCGCGTTAAAGGACGCTCAGTTAGAATATGAAAAACAGCTTTTCAACAAAATTTGGAAGCATCATCTGCTGGAAATTATCGATGGCAAGACAAAAGAAATTTCGGCTAAAGTGCTTGACGAAACGAGGGCTTCGGTTTGTTTTTTGTTTCCTGATTGATGTACCGATCTTTTAGCAAGCTGCTATCATTGATGGAATTGGACAACGTCTTCGTCTTCTATGGCTGCGACAATTTTGGGATCAATGGCGTCGCATTGTTGAGGCTCGACGAATGAAAAGAGAATATTATCGGAAAATTATGAATGAATGGCGTCCGAGTAGACTTGGTTTGTTTGATTTCATCTTAATTTAACTTCAACACCTTTTTATTTAGAATATATTTCAAAGGGGAAACCCCAAGAAACATCAAAATCTGCCATTTACTCTTCGTGGCGACGATATTCGGATGGAAATGTTTGTTGTTGTCATTTGCGTACTTTAATAGAGTTATGTTCAGGATTTCTTCAAGGAGCAAAAAAGGAAACGATGGATGATTTCAAAATACTTTCACCGATGGAGATTGAATGCACAGAGATTAGCGGCACGAAGAAGAATAATTGAAGTAAGTTATTCTTTAAACTTCAAATTAGCCCTGGTTTCGTTTGCCTATTTGCCGAGTGTACATATTTTTGCCTTTAGGGTTTCATTTCGCGGAAACGGCGTCAATGCCCGGCTTTTGTCGAGGCTCCCGCTGAAACAAAATACCTCAAGATGGCCCATCCGCAAACGAGTCTTCGTCGGGTTTCGTTGTGTATGTCTATGGTTTAGAGTCTATCATATCAATCTTTCTTTTAGGATACACTTATGTTTGCTATGACGGGACTTGATATACAATATATCTTTGTTATCATGCTGATTTTGTATTTTGTTCTTTTTGTAAACTCGTTTTATTCTTTTAGTAGAGTGTTCTATTCACAATAAATCAAAACAATGGCAAAAGAAACGATTTCAAAACTGTATCGGATAAGTGGTTGTTAGGCTAGTTGGTAACCAGGATAAAAGTAGAGACAGAGATATCGTTTTTTAAAGAGGATCACAATATTTGAAAAGAAAAACCATTTGGTTCACATTTGCTTGCACATACTCGGTCTTGTCGATTTCCTACTAGGTTTTGGTGATTGAGGTGGCGGATTTATAGACTTTTTATTTTTTCTAGCAAGAGGCAGTGTTGAAAGGAGCGGGGAATTTCTTTGATTTCGAGACGGATCAGAAACGGACTCGTTTGGCAATGAAAACATTGAAGTTGATTGGATTTCATCCTTATCGACCAACAAAGGATAGGCATTATGATTGATAATGGGAGATTGAATCGATAAAGATGCACAAGATTTTCTCGGATAATGCACAAAGTGTTCAACTTTACACGTAAATCGATTAACAGGAGGAGAAAAGGCACAATGAATATCAGTCAAAGAAAAATTAAACAAACTGTAATCAGCATCAGTGAAATATCCAAAACAAAAGTGAGTATTTATTTTTGGTCCTTGAAGGTCAATGTTGCACGTTGTTGATGAATGATGATCCGTCTCGACGTATTCCTATGGGTTCTCGTTTCTATCAGCGGCTATAGTCTTTGGGAATGGAGGAGCTGACAGATTTGATGGGGTCGATGGAGATACCGGGGTCACTTCCTAAAAACCAAATGAATTCATTTTTGATTTAATTATCTAATTTTATCTCAGAGCCATTTATTCGTTTCTTATATTAAAATTTACTTTGATACTGTCTAAAGCATGCCCATTCAACATCAATGTATTCCCTCTTCTGGATGAACCTTTACGTTGTGGAAGGGCTAAAATTGAAAATAGAGCCAGCTTGCCATAAGAATATTTACTGTCAAGCTCTTTATCATCGATCATCATTACACCAATTCCATTTGAGAGTTCATCACCTGAGGATGATTCGTCTCCATCCACATGTTTTCTGAACATAGATTCCTGATCATAACTGGCAATAAAAACAAACCCATTCTGATGATTTCCATTAACCGCACTACTTTCCTCAATCGTGGGATATTGTCTACCATCTCTCATCTGAAAAAATAGAAAGTAAATTGAATTTGCAATTGAACAGCTTACTTGTGCTCGTAGAAGTAGCCGAATGCATTCATCATGTTTGAATTGTCGAGCATCCTCAATAGGCACTCGCCCCCATCTAAAATGGAACGACTACCCAAAGCATTAAAATGAATAGCAATACCTGTCCTTTGGATTGTGATGCACTTTAGCAACATGCAGGAAGAATTTCACGAGATGAGCGTGCCCTTCAGCCGCAGCAATGTGCAGAGCGGTTCGTCCATCATAATCGGCCATTTCCATATTCGTTCCTTGCATGAAAAGTCGTCGCACCGCTTCGAAATCTCCATATTGAGCGGCAAATAAGAGTGACACCACCAGCTCTGTATCTCTAAAATAAACGACATATTTTGCTAGTTTTATTTAAGCAAACCTGTTTCCAATTCTTCTCCTCGGATCAAACTTCTTTGTGTCTGCGTGCAGCAACGAGTCGTAGTTGTGGAAGTTGAAGCTTTGGATGAGTTTCTAAGATGCAAATTAGAAAATTTAATTGTTTAAAAGGTTCTTACCCGACAAAAAACGACTCCTTTCGTGGAATTTCCCATTTTGTCAAGTGGTGGCGCAAAAAGGCAAATCCCCATCAAATTTGGAACCACAACGATCATTGCTCCCGAAACACCCGATTTGGCCGGCAAACCAACCTAAAAATAAATCTCAAAGTTGAAATGTGAAACTTAACTCACCGAAAAAGCAAATTTTCCTGAGTAATCATACATTCCACACGAATACATCAAGGAAAGAACGTCTCGACATGGTCTTGGATGGATGCACAATTCGTCACTGAGTGGACACACACCTATAAACTAAAAATCATTGCATCTTTTTCATCACAAACCTCCATTTGCGAGTGTGGCGGCCATAACTGCTGTGCTCTCACAAGTCCCTTCAAGTGAGCACAGTTGAAAGTAGAAGTCGAGTTCTTCACGGAGCCCCTATAATGAATTTTGCAAAGTGAATAAATCAAAACTCTTACTTGTGTTCCAGGAGGGAAAGCACCGATTTTCCTTCATATAATAAGAGAGAGCGTAGTTTCGATCCGCCGTGTCTCGTTCGGAAAGGAAGCTAAACGAAAAGTTATTTATTGACAAAATTTTACAACTCACGTCGCATTGTTAAAACCGACAAATTCACCGCCCGCAAGTTTGCGATACTCGTTGAGAACAAAATCGAACCTACAACACAGGAGTTTGAATCAAAGCTGTTTCACAAACCGATCAGCCATCGTGAGTCCATTTTTAATGAGCGACGTAACAATGATGGCCCCAGCATTGATCATTGGATTGTGAGGTTTTCCTAAAATGAATTGTTTTTACACAAAACATCACAACGCCTTACCATTTCCATCGAGACAAATTTCGTTAAACAGGCGTCCACTTGGCTCGTATCCGACGTAAGAATGAACAAAGTCGGCCCCCATATCTGAGCCGACGATCGCATAGTTGAACGCCTTCGAGACGCTTTGGAAGCAAAAAGGAGTTGACGCGTCTCCAAGGGAAAACCTAAATCCAGACATAGAAACATATATATATATATTTTTTTCTTTGCCAAACCTTTGTCCATCGATTGTACAAATGCTCATCCCCCAGAGATTTGGGTCCGTCCTTGCCAGCTGAGGGATGTAGGAAGCCACTTCACCGGTTGTAATTCCTTTACACTAAGAAAGTTTGTCATAGTTAAAATAATCAAACCAAAATACCTCTTCGAATACTTCCTTGATTTTTGAACAAAATTCGCCCCACGACGGGATGATCAGATGGTTGCGAAGGGCTTGCGAAATAAGTTGAACCGACGGATGAATGCATCTAAATTGAAAAATTTAGTAAACCAAAGAATAGAGTTAGCTCACTCTTTAAACTTCTGTCGAGTGTAGAGGTGACTTCTTGTATCGTGCTCGTCGTCTTCCTCCTCTTCATAATGCCGAATTCTCTCCATCATTGTGCGCAATCGAGGATCGGTTTCGCGTAGGCCAAATGAGCGGAGAACCTTAACAAAGATCATCATTGACGGCTTTGGCAACAAAAAAACAAAAGTTCAAAAAGCACACCTTGATAAGTTTGCTGATAGAGGCGCGTTCCTCAAGGCCATCGGGCCCCCCTTTTTGGTTTACCTTAAACAATCATTGATCAAAAGCTGGTTTATTTAAATCCCACCTGGAAGAGATCAAAAATGAGATCTTCGGGGTCGGAGGTCCTCAATTCGTAGGCATGATTGAGCCCCTCGACCGTTTTGCTCATAATTGCCGCCACCGACGTCTTTCGATTCAAGATTTCCCCGATTGCTCGCACTAAACATAGCTCATTAAAAGATTATATCCTAATATTCCAATTTTAGTTAAGTTCTTGCTATTGAACCCCTGTTTCTCATTTGTTCGCTTCTTGCACCACATAGAACAGAAAACTTTTGCCTTCTCCCACGTGAGTTTTTGACCTTTATAACCCCGGGGATCACTTAACAAAAAGGGCGACGATTGCAGCTTAAACCAAAAAGTCATGCAACAGCTGACGGGATCATATTCTTTGAGAAAGTCCATGACGACAAATGAAATCGCTCAATGCATGATGCAAAGAGGTTACCAGTTTTATCACAATACATCCATGCTTGAAGTATTTAAATTTACAGGTTTAGAAAATCTCTAAGCTCTTTAAACCATAAATGAACTCTTACGTTGGGTCTCGTCCATCACACTAACTTTAAATCAAGAATACGTTTCAGAAGTTTAAATGAAAAGCCTTTAAAAGGTAAGAATAAATGAGGGTGAGTTTACGACTTTGGATAGCCAAAACTTCAAAAAGGGCAATCGAGCAGAAGTTCCAGTGTTCAAGACGTGTCTTTCCGGAAGTCTCGACTCACTGCTTTAAAGTGTTCTCTCCTCGGCATCACCGCGATTTAAAAAAAAGTCTGTGAGCGAAGAACAAAGTAAAAGAACCCAGCAGCTATAGGGTTACTTTGGGCGTGGCGCGGATCATATCAAGCTTACATTGTGTTCCGTCAATCTTGTCACTCTTTTCTTGATTTCTGGGAAACATCTTGAAGAATATCAAGAAGTTAATAGAGAATAAAGCAAGTTGGAACAAATTCTTGCACAATCACGGCAATGATCAACTATGTGATGAGACAGAAATGAGATAGAGGTGTTCTCTGTTCAGACCACTCCTCCTTTTTTCCCTTTCTCTCCTTCAATATGATGATCGTCTTTTCGAGGATCAGCCGGGAAGTCATTAATCCCGCCTCTTTCTCAAACAGAGATGCCCCAATCACCCCCTCCGCTCAGTTTTTACTCGTATTTTTATCGGTAAGTGGGTTCTCCCATTTCTCTTGAGCTTCCCCCAAATTAAAAAGCACATGACCGCTCTACGTAATCATTTGAATCAACAGCTTTATGGTGACCCTTTTCTACTCAATCAAAACGCGGTCAACTGTCCATGCAATGGTATTATTTGCTGAACAAAACTACTAGATAGTTTCTGCAAGTTTGCATGAAACATTTGATTCAAAAAGATCCTCCTCATTAACCATTACCATTCACTTTTTAAACGATAAACCCACAATTTTGTTGTGAGTGCTCTTCAGATCCGGGTGGCTGACCTGCGCTTTCCTTCCGTCCTCGAAACGACATCGACTAAAATAGAAAATTGTTATGCTTTTTAAATCAACGAAATCATTTTTGTTATGAAAGCAAGAACGTAAACATTTTCACGTGGATCGTAACAAAATTTTGATCTAGGACTTTACGGTTCAAAATGCAAGGTTTAAAAAAAAATGGGTAAAGCCAGGCCAAGTCCAAAAGATGAGGTTTTGGACAAAAATGCAATAAATATTTATGAGGTAGAAAAATTTTCCAAAAATTCAGCAACGTCATTGCTTTTTGAAATGGGTATTAAAGGTGGAATTCGAAATCGAACGTTTGGGTTAAAACAAGCCAAAGTTCAAGCTTGTTTTTAACAAACAAAAAATGAGGAAAGCCGTGAGGGGTGGTGGGAATGAAAAGCAGACAGGAGAGGGGGGAGTCGACAACAAAGAAGCAAAAGAGAGGACCCTCTTTTCTTCGACGATCATTTCCCTTTTTCTATATCGATTATTTCATTTAAAATGGCAAATCGGGGGGAAAAGATTGACAAGACCAAACAAATAGGTTCCCACTTCTCATAGACAATAATTAAGCTTGAAACTAAAGAGTTTAAACACTAACCCGCTTTAAAATCAAAAAGTTCAGTGATGAAAAACGAGTAAATTTGAAGAGTCGCTGCATTGAAAGAATGGTAGGTTGGAAGCCAATAAAAGACGAGGACAAACGAATAATGATAACTTTTCTTTCGTATTTTTTTCTTTAAACAACGAATAAACGCAAATTTACAGTTTTAAAAGTAAATTTTCATTTAAATGTAAATTTATTGCAGAATTTTAATCTTAATTGTGAAAGAACAATGGTATTGAACAATGGTAAAAGGAACAAGACACTTAAAAGTTCTTCGTAAAGCTTCAAAGATACAAAATGTGCGTAATGATCGAAGCAGAGATCTACAAGAAAGATCTTCAAGAGATCTTCTACAAGAAATCGACTACTAGAGATCAAAGTTTTTTGTTTGTACCGTGAGAAAGGAACTCATTGAGTTGAATCAGCAAAAATGCTCAAAAATCAATTTGACCTAAAACATAAAATTTCAAACGGGAATAAAAAAAAGATGAAAGGGAAATCGTGTCTCATTTGACGGTGTTTTCTCGAGTGATAAGCTTCAACTTGATGGATTGCTCTATGAAGTGAAAGCTTTGTTTAATTGAAAGTGAAGTAAGAGAGTTTAAATTGAATACTCTAGAATATTCAATATTCCAGAGAAAGTTAGAGTTCCAATTTGTTTCTAAGTCTGATCATCTTTTGTGTCCCTGGCATTCTTGATTATTTAGTGTGTCAGAGAACGTTTGTCTGAGCAAACTTTTGAGCAAAGCAAAGCAAACAAAAAGCAAACAATTCACGCAAACTTTTGCTAATTTTAAAATTTCTGTTCAAAATCGTTTCGAAATTGGTCTAATTGGATGAATTGGGGGGTGGGACAAATGCGCCCTTTTTTTTGCGCACCTGGACATTTGCGCATCTTTTTTTTGCTGGAAAAGGCCTTAGGAAAGGTCGTAGAGCTTCAAAAATGTTTTCATTCAAGGGAATCGTATGCGTAGATTCCGAATTTCGACAAATCAGATCTCGCTGACACGTCAAATTTGGGCTAAAAGGCAAAAACTGCGGGAAAGCGTTAAGTTGCGTAGTTTTTGCCTTTTAGCCCAAATTTGACGTGTCAGCGAGGTCTGATTTGTCGAAATTCGGAAACCATACGCCCCTTCTATGAAAGCTTTTTATCAGATTTTTCCTAGGCCTTTCCCAAAAAAATGCGTGCAGTCGCATTTGTCCCCCCCTGAATTGTACTTTGTTTCACAAAAAATTCTGAAAATCTTAAGAATTCGGTCAGCTTCCTTGACTTCAATCATTCAAGAGTTTTCAAAACAAATATCAAATTGTATTGAAGAAAGGTAAAGGAATCGAAAGTAAAAAAATAGTTTCTCTTTTTCAGGATACAATCATTTTCCAGCACTCACTTTCTCTCATTGATCACCGGCGATAAAATTGCGTTGTCGTTAAAAAAAAAGATTGAGAGAGTTAAAAAAAAAGATTGAGAGAATTGACAAAAAACTTTAAAAGTTCAAAAGTTTAAAAGTTGTCTAAACTGAAAGTCTGACAGTTCGTCAAATCTCAAAAATGATCCACCTCGATTATTCATTGCCGAACATCCCAAAGAACAATCCCAAAGAATTCTAGGTGTGTAGCTTGATCTATTAATGGGATTAATCAATTTTCCATTCAGAAATGTCACTGAAAGATTATTTAATCACTGAATACCCCTTGGGACCTCAATAATTCGATTTTCTACTCTCAAATTGCTCAAAATATTATTAATGTTAAGTAGAAACAAAGAAAACAATGTGTTTATTCTAAAGCTTTATTTTGACAACTTTATTTCTTCTCTCACACTACCGTTTCCCTTTCTACCCTAAAGTCTCGAGTATAAGTTGATCCGAGTATAAGTTCTGCCTTAATTTACATTCGCTTTAATTGCTTTGAATTTCTTTTTGTTGGGTTTTTATACATTTTTATTGTTATATAAACTTTCATTATTGTTCTTGGAGCGCGGGATACTACAGGGTGACAGCCTATCACCATTGCTAGCTGACAGGCTATCACGATTCCTAGCTGACAGCCTATCACGATTCCTAGCTGACAGCCTATCACCATTGCTAGCTGACAGCCTATCACCATTGTTATGTGCATGGATACATCCAGACGATAGTGTTGAAGAAGACGCTGGAAAGCATCTCTTTCGACCGTCGACGTGAACTTTGACCGGATGAAGAGGCCAGGGAGGGATCCATAAGACTGAGCACCGGAGAGGAGCAGGGCGGACGCGCCGAGCCACACCCGGAGCAACAAACGCATAAAATCACAGCATAAAATTGCTATAACCCTCAATAAATTTACTTCTATTATTGTTCTTAAAAAGCAAAAAAGTTATGCTGCAGCGGGGTTCGAACCCTCGACACACCGCACCGGAGACAGCCGTCAATTTGCATGCGAAAACCAAACAGAACTTATACTCGCGACTTTAGGGTAATTCTATCTCGATCATTCCATTAAAGTCTAAATCCAAAGATCGACTATTTTAAGCCATTTTCAAAGTTCGCAGACATCTCTTCCTATTGCAGAAAGCTTTTTGCAGGAATTCTCTTGTCTTTTTCTCTTTTTTTTCCTTTCTTTTCCTTTCTTTGCACGGAGCTTTGACTGAATGAAAGAGAAGAAGTGGTGCACGGCCTTTTTTTTTTGCATAATTCTTACTGCTTCTTCCCATTCTCTCTAAAATCTCTCCATTTTTCTCAAACTTTTCATTTTTTCTTTGTTTAGCCTGGGAAACAAAGTCATTTGCAGCCTAGTTTTCTTTCAAGTTCAACCAGTTAATGTTGAGAAAGAGCTCTACACCTCTACAGCTCTACACCTCTACAGCTCTACAGCTCTACACCTCTACAGCTCTACAGCTCTACAGCTCTACAGCTCTACAGCTCTACACCTCTACAGCTCTACACCTCTACAGCCTCTACAGCCACAGCCACAGCTCTACAGCTCTACACCTCTACAGCTCTACAGCTCTACAGCTCTACACCTCTACACCTCTACAGCTCTACAGCTCTACACCTCTACACCTCTACACCTCTACAGCCTACTCCAAAATTAAAATTTCATTTTTTCAAAATCAAATCAAATCCTCAGACTTTCTCCAAAATTCAATTTTCTACTTTTCTCAAAAATTGCCCATATCCAATAATATTTAACTCTTTCCCTCCCCGAATTCCAATGAAGCAATTATTAAGTTGCCTTCAGGAGAGAGAAAATAAAAAAAAAATAGCTTCGGCGCAATTTTAATTGCATGCTTTCTCCAAAATGAGCACTTTTGATGAGGTTTCGAAAGAATTTTTTGGTTCTGCAGAAATAAGAAAAGAGAAGTCGGGATGGGGGGAAAGAAGGGGTTAGCCTTGGAAACGAAGTAAGAGAAGTCTGCAGAAAAGGGAAAGATGATGAGGAATGTGGAGTGTCTAGAAGGGTCTGCAAAAATGGGACCCTAGAAGGGATGTGAGAGTTGTGAGAGTGAATGGGGGATTGGCAGGGGCTACTGGGGTCCCGTCGAGGCCCTTGTGATCCTTTCATGGCTCTCCTTTCTTTCTTTCTTTCTTTCTTTTTTACTTCCACCACCAACATTTCTAATTTTTTTTTTTGCGCCAAAAGCGCAGCGGCAGTTTTGGGTAATGCCTATGGTTTTTAAAGCCGAATTGCTCAAGTAATCATCCAGTTCTTGATAATTTTTGAAAGAGTTTCTTTATCGCTCGTCTCAACTTGCAAGATTTTTGCAAAAGTCTCGAGAATTCTAGAATTCTTCAAAAGATTGAGCTAATCCAATGAAAAGTTCAAATCCAAACAAAAACAGCTTTCAATTTCAAAAGAATTCACTCAATTCTTTAATCAAATCCCCAAATCAAATCAAATCAAATCAAATTTTTCCCTTTATCACCTCAGTTTTCAACTTTTTAGAACTTTTAAAGCAAAATGATTATTTATATTGATTCCCTTTTCATTCAATATTCATGACGACAATCTTTCCTCTTTCATCCATACAAAAAGAGACAAAACACATATATTCTTCCTCTTCTTCTTCCTCTTCTTCCTCTTCTTCCTCGCCGTCTTCTTCTTCATCTTCCTCTTCTTCTTCTTCCTCGTCTTCTTCTTCCTCTTCTTCTTCCTCTTCTTCTTCATCTTCTTTTTCCTCTTCTTCTTCTTCTTCTTCTTCTTCTTCTTCTTCTTCTTCTTCTTCTTCTTCTTCTTCTTCTTCTTCTTCATCTTCTTTTTCCTCTTCTTCTTCCTCTTCATCTTCTTCATCTTCTTCTTCCTCATCTTCTTCTTCCTCATCTTCTTCTTCATCTTCCTCGTCTTCTTCTTCATCTTCCTCTTCTTTCAATTTTCTAAACTAGACAAAGGATCTTCGATGATTTTGAATTGACCATTTAGAGAAAAAGCATTCCCCAAAGGGATTTCAATAAAGAGACAAAATCTAAAAGTTCAAAATCAAAATCAAAATCAAAAGTTGAATGTTTGATGAGCTAATTGAAGAACTAGAAGCTAAATAATTTCAACTTTTTAAAGCTCACCTTCAGGCAATTTTTTTTTTCAGCTTTCCCTTTTCTTTAACCTATTTTTAGATCATTTTCCAGGAAGTTTTCTGCATTTTTTTTGCAAGAAAACGAGCAAAAGTTGATCCTTTTTCGCGGAAAAGCAGCTGGACGATTCTTTTCTTCAAAATTCATTTGTTCTACTTATAAGTTTCCCTTTTCGTTGATCTATAAGTTTTAAGGAGTTTCCAATAGATAAATTCTAAAATGTTTGAGTTTTCAGTATTTAATAAATTGTAAATAAAATCCTCACAGAAACTCTTTTTTCCTTTTTTTTTTTCCAATCCATCAGATTAAGAAATCATGATACATATTTGGGAGATGAGATGAGCTACGGTAGAGGGGAAATCAAGGCATGAAGGCAAAAGAATCACAGCCGTTTTAGACAGATTTCTTTTTCAAAAAATATCAGATATTTAGAGAGGATTGCAAAAAAATCTGGGGAATAGGAGATTTCTATGACAACAGAAAAAGAAAAGAAGTGAAAAGGCTGAGGCTGAGGCTGACTGGACAACTCTAACTCTCGTGTTTTTCCCACTTGGGCAATGAAGAAGAAGAGACGAGAATTTGTTGACCCAGAAAATCTCTCCAAATTTGTTTTTTTAAAAATTATTTTATAATCTTTAAAGCATCGATTGAGAACATTTTGTATAAATCTTATTCTTTTTTATTTCAAAGCATTTTGTGCATTCTATTCAATACGTTGCCTTGATTCAGCTATTCAGCTGAATTTTTTTGATTCTTTTGATGCTCCAAGATCTGATTTGAATTTGAAGATTCAAGGTCTTCAGAATAAGAAGTGTGAACATCTATCTTCTAATCAAGTCTGAGACAGTCAGAGAGACAGAGAGACGGATGGACAGAGAGACAGACAGACGGACAAATGGACAGACGGACAGATGGATAGACAGACGGACAGATGGACAGACAGACAGACAGACAGGCATACAGACAGACAGATAGATAGACAGACAGACATATAGATAGACATACAGATAGACAGACAGACAGACAGATAGACAGACGGACGGACAGACAGAAGGACGGACAGACAGACGGACAGACAGACAGACGGACAGACAGACAGACGGACGGACAGACAGACAGACAGACGGACGGGCAGACAGACAGACAGATAGACATACAGACAAATTGAACGCATTCATTTCCTTCAGATCCATTAAAGATCAATCTCATCCCCTCATTGACTCATTTGATCCCTTCAATATTAGATGTTCTTCTCTTCTTTTCTCTCCCAGATTTCTCTTCTTTTCTTTCTTTTCTTTCTTTTTTTCACAGCTTTTACTTGTCTCTGTTTACCAAGTTTTGCAGCTTTCCTTCCCTTGTGAGCGTTTCTTTTCATTTCAACATCCTAAGAGGTGGTCCTTAAAAGAGTTGAGGGGTTCATTTTTACGAGAAAGAAGTGAAAAAGAGGAGAGAAAAGGGTAGAGATCTACAGATTTTTAAGAGAATAGGGGAATGGGAAGAGATACAGTGCGAATCCCGCAGTTCAGTCCACCACGCTCCTTTCATCTTGCAAAGATCTCCTCGAGATTTCTAAAACCTTTTTTTTGACCTTGCTCTTCACAATTCGATTGGTTTTTTTAAAAATTTAGAATCTTTATAGAATCTTTATAGAATGCTGAATTTATTGCTATGTTTACAAGAAAGATTTTCAAATTTCTTTTCTAATCGTTTATTCTTTTTATAAACAGATTTTTTACAAAATTCGGTTGTCTTTCTGTCTGTCTGTGGTCTGTCTGTCTGTGGTCATGTAAACGCTTTATCTCTGGCAAACTCTTTATTTTTTAAAAGCATCAAAGTGATGGGTTTGTTTGTTAACTGATTTGTTTAAAAAATTTGCGTCAAATAATCAAATCCCTTGTCGCTTTTGAGAAATTTTTGATTCAGTTAGTCAGAAATAAATTTTCCCTATTGAAACGCTTGAGAAACGCAAAGATCCGGTCTATCCCAAAACAGCGCCGTACCCAAAACAGCGCCGTACCCAAAACAGCGCCGTACCCAAAACAGCGCCGTACCCAAAACAGCGCCGTACCCAAAACAGCGTCCGTACCCAAAACAGCGCCGTACCCAAAACAGCGCCGTACCCAAAACAGCGCCGTACCCAAAACAGCGCCGTACCCAAAACAGCGCCGTATCCAAAACAGCGCCGCCTAAACAGCGCCAATGCAAAAATGCCCAAAACAGCGACGAGCAAAAAAAATATTTTTTAGATTTTTGCTTTTGCTTTTTCTTTGCTGTTTTTAACTTTTCCTGTCCACTTTTTGTGTTTTTAGGGTAAAAAAAGGCGGAGAATCCGATTTTTTTTAAGCTTTACGCATAGAAACCTGCGATAGCCTTTATTAAAGTGATTTTCCCTATTGAAACGCTTGAGAAACGCAAAGATCTCCTCGATCTCCTCGAGATTTCTTCTAAAACTCTTTTTGACCTTGCTCTTCACAATTCGATTGCTTTTTAATTGAAGATCTTTATAGAATAAGATTGCTAGATCCATTGCAACAAAGCTTTTCAATTTTCTAATCGTTTATTCTCTTATTACAAAGAGATTTGTACTAAAGCCGGTTGTTTGTTTTTTTTTTTGCGGACTTGCAAACGGACTTGCAAACGGACTTGCAAACGGACTTGCAAACGGACTTGCAAACGCTTTTATCTCTAGCAAATTCTTTATTTGATCCTGTAACGCGTATCGTTTGTCGCTTAGTTAGTCAGAAATAAAGTTAGTCAGAAATTTTCCTTTGTTGAAACCCCTTTGCTAGACTTATAAATTCACTATATTTTTCCCCTTTGCTAGACTTATAATCACTATATATTTTTTCCCTCTTTCCATTCGCAAATCACATCCACTTTTACAAAGAATTCACTTTTTGCAATATTTCCGCTCTTTGCTTCTTTGCTTTCTCTAAATTTGATCACCGGATATTGGATAGAAGAAAAATGAGTAAAAAAAAGGCAAAAAAAAAGAGCCATAGTCTTTCAAATTGCAAACGTTTACCGTATTCTCCAATAATCCGCTTAAAAAAATCTCTAAAATTTTATGTTTTCCCGATGAAAGAATCGTTTTTGCAAAGTGTTTTTTCTTTTTTTTGCATTTTTTTGCATTTTTTTGCAATTTGTAGTGCTACGTAAAGCTTTGTAGTCAAAAGTTTGCGATGTTTTTCGTTTTTTTGAGTGGAAGATGAGAGCAAAACTCAATCGTTTTTTTTTTTTGGAGAATGAATGACGAGTAAATAATGACTATTACTTTATTTATTAAAAGAAACAATTTTTTAGATAGATTGGGTTAGTGGGTATGTAGATGGCACGCTTTTTGAAATGAAAATTTTTCTTTCATGAACAACTCCAAATCATGCGAGATATTTGTCATCATTTTGTATGCTTTTGTATGCTTTATGCTATCGCATAAATAAATAAATGCTATCGCATAAATAAATAAATGCTATCGCATATGCTATTGCGTATCGTGTATCGCGTATCGCGTATCGTTTATCGATTGCTTTTTAATTTAAGATCGCTTTTTAATTTAAGTTCTTTGAATCTTTTTAATTTAAGATCGCTTTTTAATTAAAGATCTTTGAATCTTTTTAATTTAAGATCGCTTTTTATAAAGTTAGTCAGAAATTGACTACCGTATTTACTCTATTAGTGGGGTCCTCTCTAATAGTGGGGTCCTCTCTAATAGTGGGGTCGTCTGGAGGGGGGTTGAAAAAATAGTGGGGTCCTCTCGAATTGGAAGAAGATATTGGTAACGAAAGTGATACATCAATTGTTGATCTCTTGGATTAGTTCTTTTACTGTTTGTTAATGTTTTGTTACGGTTAAAGCTAAATAAAATATGAAGCCAAACTTGTTTTGTCAAGAATTTCGGAGAAAAATTGATATCTTTTCAATTTAAAACTTTGTTTTTATGTTCTTTTAAATTTCTCTAATAGTGGGGTCGTCTGGAAGGGGATTGAAAAAATAGTGGGGGACCCCACTAATAGAGTAAATACGGTATTTCCTTGTTGAAAATCCCTTTGCTAGACTTATAATCACTATATTTTTTTTCTCTCTTTCCATTTTCCATCTTTCCATTTGCAAATCTCATCCATTTTTTTAAAAGAATTCATTTTTTGCAATTTTTCCGCTCTTTGCTTCTTTGCTTTCTTTAAATTTGATCACCGGATATTGGATAGAAGAGAATTAGGTAAAAAAAAAGAGCCATAGCCTTGCAAATTGCAAACGTTTACCGTATTTTTCAATAATCCGCTTAAAATTCGCTAACTTTTATGTTTTTTTGATGAAAGAATAGTTTTTGCAAAGTGTTTTTTCTTTTTTTGCAATTTTTTTGCAATTTGTAGTGCTACGTAAAGCTTTGTAGTCAAAAGTTTCCGATGTTTTCGTTTTTTTGAGTGCAAAATGAGAGCAAAACTCACACGATTTTTTCGAGCATTTTAGCAAATAATGACTATTACTTTAGTAATGACTATTACTAAAAGAAACAATTTCTTTAAATATAATTGAGAAAACGGTCACTTTTTAAAGATATAAAGGCTTATTTCGATTCTTTCTTTACTCATGACTCAACCGAAAAAAAAGGCTGTGATGTGTGAGGAAAGTTTACTTTTACTGTAAGCTTTCTTCAAATCTCCGTTGCCTTTTATTTTTAGCTTCTAACAGTCAAATGTTTACTTTGACCTGGGAATTGTCATTAAGTTGAAAAGCTACTCTTGACTATAACTTGGGAGAACGATCTGATTGAGAGTACTGTCTGATTGAGAGTACTGTCTGTTTGAGAGTACTGTCTGATTGAGAGTACTGTCTGATTGAGAGTACTGTCTGATTGAGAGTACTGTCTGATTGAGAGTACTGTCTGATTGAGAGTACTGTCTGATTGAGAGTACTGTCTGATTGAGAGTACTGTCTGATTGGGAGAACGGTCTGATTGGGAGTACTGTCTGATTGAGAGTACTGTCTGATTGAGAGTACTGTCTGATTGAGAGTACTGTCTCTCTATTCTCCGTCACAGTATACTTAAAGAAAAGTCTTCAACCGATAAAACGAAATATTTCTTTCAATAGATATGATACGTTGATTTTTGCTTATCGTATTTATTCTAAAGAAGAAGCACTTGTTACTTCGACACTTGTAACAAGTGCTTCTTCTTTAGAATACTTCGATTTTTCATCCACTCTCCTAAAATTTCTTATATTGAAGACTGTGCTTTTACTTCTTCAATCACGCCCCAAAATTGATTAAATAGCTTACAAGGAGTTAACATTTTCAAATCAGAGATATTTATGATTAATTTATTCATTCGAGTAAAATAATATTTAAACATAGAAAACAATGAGTGATCAAAATAAAAAAGCAAACATAAAGCAAACATATCATTTAAATCATTATCATCGATATCATTTATCGTTAACAAACGCCAAACTTTAATGAAGATATCGTATCCCTTGTTCTCTTCATCTTCGCCAAGATCGATTACCTCCAACAAGTGAGCGATCATCTCCTCGTTCCGGGCCTGATGTCATTCTGCTCGCACACGTTTTTTTGCCTTTTCGTGAATCAATCTTCTCGAAACTTTGTTCCTTTTCTGCCGCTCGCTTCGGACCAGGCTCGATTGTTTCTTTACTCATGACTCAACCCAAAGAAAAAATATAAAAGCTGTGATGTGTGAGGAAAGTTTACTTTTACTGTAAGCTTTCTCCAAATTTCCGGTGGCTTTTATTTTTTTCCAGGACCAGGGAAACGGCCAGTTCTTGATCGAGTTGTTTTTTTGTGAGTTTTCCTCCCGGCTCCTTTCTATTGCTTACACGATTTCCTCATTTTTCGCAATTTTTTTTCTTGTAAAGCGGATCTATGGATCATTGCTCGCATTATTTTTCGAAATCATCTTTGCATTCGATGGTGTCCAGCTTGAAATCAATCGAATAAGCCTTCCGCTTCTTGAACAATTGCTGATCATCGAGAGAGTTCGAGGAACCGGGAGCCGTTTTCCGGCTCCGGCTTTCTATTCGTTGCTTCATTTGTCTCGTTCGTTCTTCTCGCGTTGTTCCCTGAAGAAATGCTCGGGTCCAGCGTGTTCTCGTAGAGCTCGATATTCCTCGAGAGAATCCGAACGAATTGTTGGTCGCGCATTTGTCCCATCCCGCGCTCCTTTATTTTCTTCATTTGCTTCATTTTCTTCATTTTCTTCATTTGCTTCATTTACTTCATTTGCTTCATTTGCTTCATTTACTTCATTTACTTCATTTACTTCATTTGCTTCATTTACTTCATTTACTTCATTTACTTCATTTGCTTCATTTACTTCATTTACTTCATTTGTTTCATTTTCTTCATTTACTTCATTTGTTTCATTTTCTTCATTTACTTCATTTGCTTCATTTTCTTCATTTTCTTCATTTGTTTCATTTTATTTACTAGAATCAGTCTTATCTTTGTTTTATTAAAAGTTTAGACAAGATTTCTGCCAAAGTCAATCTAATCTTCTCAAAATTTCGGTGAAGCGTTTTCATTTCGATTTTCTCAAACGAAAATCTATATGGGGAATCCAGCCTTGCAAAATTCTTCTCTTTTTCTTTTTTGACCCAGGACACCCTAGATTTTTGCAGAGAAAAGGGGGAAAAAAGAGGACAGGTGGATAAATTTCGAGAGGAGACATCACCTCCTCTTTTCATCCATACACATCTATCTCACTCTTTTTTTCACTTTTTTTTTTTACTTTCATTTCAATAATTTATTCGATATTCATTATATTCAACTTTTGTTTATTCATTTTTGTTTATTCATTTTGTTTATTCATTCTTTTTATAAAAATTAGTATTTCTGAGCGTTTTTACGCTGTTTTTGTGCTCGATTTGGTTACGGTGCTATGAAATCTATCAAAATTCAATTTTAAAGACTTAGCCTTACTAGCCTTCCTTGAAGTAGCCTTCCTTGAAGTAGCCTTCCTTGAAGTAGCCTTCCTTGAAGTAGCCTTCCTTGAAGTAGCCTTCCTTGAAGTAGCCTTCCTTGAAGTAGCCTTCCTTGAAGTAGCCTTCCTTGAAGTAGCCTTCCTTGAAGTAGCCTTCCTTGAAGTAGCCTTCCCTTGAAGTAGCCTTCCTTGAAGTAGCCTTCCTTGAAGTAGCCTTCCTTGAAGTAGCCTTCCTTGAAGTAGCCTTCCTTGAAGTAGCCTTCCTTGAAGTAGCCTTCCTTGAAGTAGCCTTCCTTGAAGTAGCCTTCCTTGAAGTAGCCTTAGTCTAGTCTTTTATTGTCAATAGACAATAAAAATAACATTTAAACTAACTCTGAGCAATTCTAACTCAAGAAAAAGCAAAAGCAAAGATTTCTAAAACAAAAAACGTGAAAGAATACAATTCTAGTCAACAAAAATCTTAGCTTTCCTTCATTTTTTTTTTGCTTTTTGTTTTTTGTTTTCTATTTCAAAGAGATCAAAGCAGAATATTGTAAAGTTTGTATTGTAATTTTTCGCATTTTCTCATCATTTTAAGTCAAAAATTTTCAATGACTTTCTTTGGAAAAACTTTCTTATAGTTTCTTATAGATAAATTGAAAGTAAAAAGGTAAACCAAGCCGGAACTAATCGACTAATCTCGTTTTTAGGCACTCTAATTCCCTACTATTGCTCACATTTTATTATTGAACAGTTTCATGAGTCATTTTCGATATAAAACAAATCCTCAATAATCTCGAAAATAAGACATTTTCTTAGGCTTTTTGTGAAGCTTTTTGTGAAGCTTTTTGTGAGCTTTGTAAGGCTGTTTGTAAGGCTTTTTGTAAGGCTGTTTGTAAGGATTTTTGTAAGGCTTTTTGTAAGACTTTTTGCTTGTACCGATCTTTGATTATTCCCAACTCATCACATCATTCCCCTTGTTCCAAAAAATTCTTTCACAAAATGAATAAAAGAGAGAATTAGAACCAACAGTTTTATAAATCATTTTGATATAAAACAAATATCCTCAATAATCTCAAAAATAAGACTTTTTCTTAAGCTTTTTGTGAAGCTTTTGTGAAGCTTTTGTGAAGCTTTTTGTGAGCTTTGTGAGCTTTTGTGAGCTTTGTAAGGCTGTTTGTAAGGCTGTTTGTAAGGCTGTTTGTAAGGCTTTTTGTAAGGCTGTTTGTAAGGATTTTTGTAAGGCTTTTTGTAAGACTTTTTGCTTATACCGATCTTTGATTATTCCCAACTCATCACATCATTCCCCTTGTTCCAAAAAATTCTTGCACAAAATGAATAAAAGAGAGAATTAGAGAAAAAAAAGTGCAAACCTTTGAAAAATAGGGAAATTTCTTTTGATTGAAAGAAATAGCTGAAGGGAGGCTTGATTAATTCCTCCTCCACCCGAAAGAAATAAAAATATCCTCTCTTTTTTTCATTCGTCTTCTTTCATTTACCCTTTTCCTTTCTTCAACTACACGTAATTCGTGTTTTCGATGGAAAATTGCTTTTTTTTTTTTTTTGAAAGCTTGCCCTTCACTAATAATAGAATTTGCTCTTTTTTTTTTGATAGTAATAGCCATTTAAAGGCCGGCGTATCAAAGCCCAAGTCTAAGGCGTAAAGACCGGCGTATCAAAGCCCAAGTCTAAGGCGTAAAGGCCGGCGTATCAAAGCCCAAGTCTAAGGCGTATCAAAGCCAGAGACCAAAGTCTCTTGTAAATCCACAGCTTTCCATAATCCATTGTAACTTGTAACAATTGAAGCTGGATAATTTGAAAGTCAAAGATTTTAAAGGATTGTGGTTCTCACCTTTATTGCCGAAACGATACATCCACCGACTACCATTTGGCTCATCAAAGGATGTGGTAAAACCCGTTGTGGTAAAACCGTTGTGGTAAAACCTAAAAAAGCTAGCTTTTGCCACAATCTCAGATAACTTGAAGTTTACCTGATGAATTCGAAACATTTGTTCCTGGATTTGAATTTGGATTCTGGATTTGTTGACGGCTCCTTTTGCTCGTAGCCAAGATTGTGCTAACACCATCGAAATTTTAATCGAACATCGAACATCGAAACAGGAAATTTTAACGATAACTTAACAGATTCTTCTACTTGAATTTCTACTTAAACAAAGAAAAAGACGATTTCACTTCCTCAACTCTTTGAAGCAAAATCAAATGATCAGCAAAATCATTACTGGTTTCGTTTCCGTTTCGCATTATGATGTTGGACAGTTTAAAGTCTCAAAAAGCGGATATTCCTTCAGTTTTTTTATAGAAAAGAGACCGGCTAATCGATTTAAGTGGAAAAGAGGAAAAGAGGAAAAGAAGGGGTGAAATGAAGAGAAGAAGAAGAGAAAAAGAAGAGGAAGATGAAGAGAAGAAGAAGAGGAAGAAGAAGAGAAGGAGAAGAGAAGAAGAAGAGAAGAAGAAGAGGAAGATGAAGAGGAAGAAGAGAAGAAGACACACATCATTCAAAAAGAACCCTTCTCTTCAGCTTCGTTTCTCCATTTCATTTCACTTGAATATCTCATCACTGTCTTCTTCTTCTTCTTCTTCCATATTGAATCCATTCATATATATATATATCTTTCGATTCAAAGAAGCTATCTTTCATCATAGTTTTCATCATCATCATTATTCTTTCAATTGTACTGTTGATGCATATCGATTGAAACAGATATCATCATAAAAACATAAAAACATAAAAACATTACTTTCAAAGTTTTTGTATTAATTTAATATCTTTCTACTTGTTTTACTTGTTTACTTGTTTACTTGTTTACTTGTTTACTTATTTCCTTCAGTTTTTTTATAGAAAAGAGACCGGCTAATCGATTTAAGTGGAAAAGAGGAAAAGATTTCCATTCAGAGTACTTTTGCACTTTGTTAATGAATTGATTAGTGATTCCTATCAATAAAGTTTTAAGGAAATCCCATTGAGCAATTGTTTTTTTTTGTTTTTGATACTTGGAAGAGGAAACGAAAGAAAAGAGACCTTACCTTAAAAGAGCTTTGATTAGGATACTTCATAACTTCTGAGTTTTGCCTTTAGTAACTATTTCTCACACTACAATCGTTGTGCTCATTTTCTTTTTTTGCGAATTTCTGCAACTTCTGCAAACTTTCTGTCTATTTTTGCCCATTTTCCAGCCATTTTCTAAGTATTCAAAGAAATTTCCATTACATTCCATTACAAAAATCTTCGCAAATCTTCTAATCCCCGTCATCTTTTTTCCTTTTAATTCGACTTGAAATTTGTGATTTTTGGTGAAAAATGAAAATTTTACAGAAACTTGGCCTTTTAAATGGAGTAGCAAGATTGCCGAATGAGGAGAAAATATCTCCTTCTTTTGATTTTTGGTTTCATTTTGGATATTACAAATGTGAATGGTGATGATCGGAATAGAACAGAAAAGGCGATTGTAAAACAGGTAATGGGGAAATCGTTATGATAAGAAAAAGCAAAAAAGACAAGCTCGGTCATCCCGAGATTTCAGAAACATCTTGATCAATGAAATAATGTTTTGTAACGATCCAGAAAATGAGCTTTGCTTTCGTTGTTTCCATTCAACTCCCCCCAAACCATTTTACAATTAGTTTTGGCCTTCATCGTGGTCCGGAAAAGTTCCACTCGGCTTTCAAATGGCAAAAAAGCGGCGATTTTCAATCATTTTTTTCTAAGCGCTGGTTAATGCTAAAAATATTTATTATATCTCAATATTTGTTAAAAAAAACACCCATCCTCTCTACTTTAATTTGACATCCAAGCGCGCAGAAACAAGAGTACTGATGTCGAGATATAAGCGTTTTTTTGAGAGTAAACTTAGACTACGCGACGTTCCTCTAGGGAGGCCGCGGCCCCATATAGGAACGGCCGGCCGCTGTCCCCTATACGGCCGGCCGTTCTATTAAAGTTTTTACGTTAGATTTATTTCTTATTTCAAAAAGAAACACACAATTTATCGCGTAAAACAATAATTTCAATTAATCTGACAAAAAGAAATGATTTGAAAAATGAAAAATGAAAAAGAAACGACGACGCGGCGCTCCCAGCGACTACCTCCAAATGGCGGCGACGTCAATTGAAATGCGACGTTGCGCGAAAAATAATATTTAAAATTTGCGAGAGAAATTCAAAATTAAGACGAAAACGTCTCGAAAAACACATTTTTTTTCTTTCTAAAGTTATCTTTTTTCTTTTTTCTCTACTATAATGAAAGTTTTCAGCTTAATCAAGACGATGAACGACCCACCGATCATTCGCTTTTCACTCTTTCACCGACATTTCATCCCATGGGAAATGGTTCAAAAGATGGCGATGGAAAGAAGAGAATTCTCATTTCGTATTTGACTGCTGTATCGAGAATACCAGAGAATATTCTTGCCGAGTTGCTCAAGATGAGAACAAGTGTAAGTTTTTCGAGAAATAAAACTGTGGAAAACTTTGAGATGATTTTAGTCAGCTTCAAGAGATTCTTCAAATAGTGATAGCACTGAAAAGGGGCATGTGAAAGAATGGGCGAAATGTTTTCGTACTGATTTTGAAGGTAATTTTTTGATTTGAATTTGATTTATTTGAATTTCAATTCATCAATTCAAACAGGCTCTATCATATCGGGTGCTTTCCGCGTTGCAATTGAAGAGATCAATGCTGATCCATTCATTTTACCCAATCACACACTCACTTATGTTTTTGAGAATACTTGTGGAAATGAGAAGAAAAGTTTGGAATTTGAGGGTATTGGATAATTGAATTTGTATAGGCACAAAATTCTTTATGGATCATTGGAAGAGAGGAGCAAAAGCATTCATTGGACCAGAAGTTAATTGCAGGTAAATTGCAGAGATTAGAATGAAAAGTTGCGACAACTGAAGCTCTAGATTATGATAGCTTTCGAAGCTCTAGATTATGATAGCTTTCGAAGCTTTAGATTATGATAGCTTTCGAAGCTCTAGATTATGATAGCTTTCGAAGCTTTAGATTATGATAGCTTTCGAAGCTCTAGATTAGGATAGCTTTCGAAGCTCTAGACTATGATAGCTTTCGAAGCTCTAGATAGCTTTCGAAGCTCTAGATTAGGATACCTTTCGAAGCTCTAGATTATGATAGCTTTCGAAGCTTTAGATTATAATAGCTTTCGAAGCTCTAGATTATGATAGCTTTCGAAGCTTTAGATTATAATAGCTTTTGAAGCTCTAGATTATGATAGCTTTTGAAGCTCTAGATAGCTTTCGAAGCTCTAGATTATGATAGCTTTCGAAGCTCTAGACTATGCTAGCTTTCGAAGCTCTAGATTATGATAGCTTTCGAAGCTCTAGACTATGCTAGCTTTCGAAGCTCTAGATTATGATAGCTTTCGAAGCTCTAGACTATGCTAGCTTTCGAAGCTCTAGATTATGATAGCTTTCGAAAAATGGCATATTTAAGTAAATAAGAAATAAAAAAGAGCAACTCAATTAGTCTACTGAATATTTAGAACGGAAGCAACAATGGCTGCAGCTCAAGATGTCCCAATTATCAGCTACAAATGCAAAGATCGAACTGTGTCTGATAAAGAAAAGTTTGTTGAAATTCATTCGAATCAATTAAAGACTGATTACAGATTTCCGACATTTGCAAGAACAGTACCCGCTGAAACGGAAATCATTTCATCATTTATTGCTTTGTTAAAAGCTTTTGGGTAAGTTAAAAAAACTTCCAGAATTGATTTTTATTTTTATTTTAGTTGGGCAAAGTTCGGGATCATTTATGAAAAACATGCTGTACACGAAGAGCTCTTTGAAGCAATTAAAGTAAAAGCCAAGAGAAAGCTGAGAAAATGAAAATATCAATTTCTAGGTGGTGATTGGTGATCGAATAAATGAAAAGAATCATTTCGAGATTACGAATGTGTCAACGGTCGAGAATTTCAATGAGTTTAATTCAAGAAAAGATCTCGAAACAATCATTGAAAGTATGCGATTGAATACAAGAAGTATGTGAAATCGAAAAGAACTTTGAAAAAAGAGAGAATTTCTAGTTTTTGTCACTTTTGGTAATGTGAGATTGTTTCGAACGATTTTGATGTTAATGGGAGAACAAGGTGAGCGGGGAAAATTGAGATAATCGAAAGAAATCGAATGAAACAAAGTTTAGGGATGTTGAAAGATGGCGGAGAGTACATGTTGATATATCTGGATCCGGACTACAATTGGTTGAATGTGTATCATGCGATGAATAATCATTTCTTGAGAAGTAAATCTCATATCGTAAATATTGTAGTCGCGTCGTCGCAAAAGCTTTTCTTGTAATTCATTTTTTAAAGTGTCTGTACATTGAGAAAAATGCGTTTTTGGTATCAAAAAATAGCCCTGACTTTCAGCTATTTTTTGATACCTTTACGCGGATTGTATTAGGTGTGTGAAAAAGTAATCCACGTTTTTAACGTTTAAATATAAAAGACCATAAGTTTCGTTAAAATAATTTTCATTCAACGAAGTAATCACCATTCGAAAGAACAACCTTTTGCCAACGTTCTACAAGTAAAGACATTCTATGATAATAAAAATCTTGGTCCTTAGAGGCGAAGAAAAGATGAACCTCGGCTTTGACATCTTCGGAATTGAACCTTCGCCAAAAAGTTAGACAGAGACAAGACAAAAATAAATAATAATCAGATGGAGAAAGGTCTCGACTATAAGGTGGATGTGGTAAAACCTCCCATCCAAAACTCTGGATTTTTTTGTCGAGTCTGTAAAGAGACATGTGGTCGCGCATTATCGTTCATGCGGTATCCATTTGTCCAACTTTTTGATAAAATTTATGGCATTCAAGCGTTTCCTTACGGTTCACCCATCACAATTTAATGGAAGGCCTATTTCTGAAGAGGTTGAACGAGGGTTTTCGAGAAGACAGCGTCTTATTTGGTCATCAGATAAAAATAAAAAATGTGGATTACTTTTTCACACACCTAATAGCTTAAACCAGCGTCAAGAAAAACGCGTTTAAAGCTAGACTACGCGACACTCCGCACCGTCATTATGGTAAAATTACAGTATTTACGTATACTAAAATCGATAGTATACTAAATCGTTTATTTATCTAATGGTTTACTAAATCGATAGTAGAAGACAAATAATCGATATGGATATTGGAGAATAGATAGATATAGATCTTGATGGAGAATAGATAGATATAGATCAGATATAGATCTTGATTATATTGAAATTCGAGCACTCATTGAACTTTTTAGACACAATGTTAGAGATGAACACGTCATGGGGATCGGGAAATGTGCCCGGAGTCGATACACCGGTAAGATGGCTGTCAGAAATTTGATTTCAATCACTAAAGATGGTCGATTATGCGCACAATGTGATGGCCATCATCCCAACGCCCGTCAAATTGGACACTCCGCATTTTAAGAAATTCTGGAAATTGGCCATCGAGTACCTTCAAGAATTTGGAGTGCATAAATCGGCTATGCAAAATGACATCAAAGTAAATAAAGTCTTTCGTTTAAAAACAAAAAAAATGCAACTTTTTAGGCGAATCGCTTTGCTTGTTATCTTTATGATGCTGTGTGGGTTTATGCAAGAGCTCTCGATGCACACCTCAAAGAATCCCCGCCAAACATTGAAGAACCCGAGGCTGAGGGGTCAAAAATTGTGAAACGAATCCTTGGAAGTACCTATTACAGTAAGTTTATGCAGTAATTTCCTATGAAAAGCGCCCCAAAAAAACTCGTTTTTGTACTAGCTCGTTTTTGTTTAGTGGATAATCTATCGTATCCTACTTGCTACCTTTCTAAAAGACACTTAATTTTAGTATAAAATGTTGCAACAAAAATTTTCTTTTAAAATTTTCATTTGTTTTTGTGTAGTTTTTTTTTCCATTTTTTTTCTAAAGATATCTAAATTTATTATTTTATTTCAGGTATTCAAGGCTTTGACATGACTTTCGATGATCAAGGGAACGCTCAAGGAAATTTCTCCATCCTCACCTACCGGCCAGTCATCCCCGATTCAAACGAGTGAGCCATTTATTGGATATAACTTGTGCATGATCCTTTTTTCTAGAAGCTCAACCGAATATTACCCATTGAGCTTTGGGTTAAATGTTTCGGGGATGTTCGTGAAAGATGTGAACGGACGATCAAAATTGCAGTTGGTTTTTATTTTTTAAGATAAAATGACAATTGTTAAGATTGCTTTATTTTTGAAGATTGCTGGATACATTTATTATTTAGCCTTCTGGAAGGAGTGAGCAATGTACCAAGAGATGCGCCGGAATGTGGATTTCACGGTGAATTGTGCAACGATGGGCATAGTAAGTGAATTTGAATTGATTATATTTAGCAAACTTTAGAGTAGAAAGATTGAATTTGTTTTTTCTCAGGTTTCCTCACGCAACTCTCGGTAATCGTTGTGATGTTGGGGATCACATCTCTCATCATCGGAGTTGCAATGGTTATTCGGTAACTGATTGTTATTATAGCTTTAACATGTTTATATTTAGAAATTCAAAGTACGAGAAAGAACTGAAGATGATATGGAAGATCGACTCAAAGGATATCGAAAGGATTGTTCCATGCAACGGAAGCACAAATTCACTCTATATTTTTGATGGAAGGGTCAGCTTTTCTACAGCAAAGCTCATAATAGCTTTTCTTAACAAAGAGCCGCTAAAATGTTCATGTTTAGTTATCAAATGACTCTTGTGAGGATAAACGTGGATCGGGACTTCGAGGAGTAGCACTTTATAGAGGAAACCTTTGCTGTATAAAAGGTATATTAAAATATTTTTAAAAAAATAAGAAAACGTTTAGAAATTCGATATCGTCGACGTCCAAGAGAAATCACACGTCAGTTGAGAATTGAAATGAAAACGATGAGACAACTCTGTCATGACAACATTAATGCCTTCATGGGTATCATCGTCGAACCGACTGCTAGTGCCATTTCGATCGTCAGGGAATTTTGCGCCAAATCGAGCCTCATGGATATTCTTCGCAATAAAGACCTCAAACTTGATCATCTCTTCATTGCTAGTTTTGTTGAAGATCTCATAAAGGTCTAACTTCTTTAAAACACTAGAATTATACGAATATTTAGGGAATCATCTACTTACACGAATCAGAATTGCGGGTACACGGAAATCTCAAATCAACAAATTGTCTAATAACGAGTAGATGGGCTTTACAGGTTGACACTTTATGAAAATCTCTAAAACTTTTGGCTTTCAGGTAGCCGATTACGGGTTGGCGGATCTCCGAGATGGACAACAATGGGATAGCGAGGATCTTTATGTAAAAATTGCCAAGAAATCGTAAAATATTGTTTGTTTAAGTGGGAATCATACTTGTGGACGGCTCCTGAATTGTTACGTCTCAGCGAGTTGCGGTCGGTGGTCAAAGGAACACAGGTTTTGTTGATCTTTTTATGCTTTAGTTTATGATTCTTTAGAAAGGAGATGTCTACTCGTTTGGTATCATTCTGCATGAAATGCTCACCCGACAAGGACCCTTCCGATTAATAGATTGTCCACAATATACGGCTCTTGGTAAGTTAATCTTTATTTACTTTTACAATAATTGATGAATTTAGAAGTGGTTCGACATGTTTATGAGGGAACGGGTTTCCGGCCATCAATGGAAGGAATCGATTGCCAGAATTACGTGGCCGACATAATACGCGCTTGTTGGTCCGAGAATCCCGACAATCGACCCGACTTCAAACATCAAATACGGAGCCGCCTAAAGCCAATGTTTGCTGGAATCTACAAAAGAAACATTATGGTCCGTTTTTAATAGATCTTTATTTATTGAAAAATAATATAGGATCATATGGTTTTGATGATGGAACGATATCAAACACAATTGGAAGCACTTGTTGAAGAGAGAACAGCCGAATTGCGGGATGAAAAGAGACGAAGCGAAAATCTCTTGCAGAGAATGCTACCCAAGTAATTTTGATATAAAAATAAGTGGGACTTTTTGTTTTAGATCTGTGGCTCAACAACTGTTGGAAGGAAATACAGTTGTTCCCGAATCATTTCCATCAGTCACAATCTACTTTTCGGACATTGTTGGATTCACAAATATTTCTGGCGAATCAACACCTATGCAGGTTTTTCTTATTTTAATTTTCCATATTATGTCAATTTTAGGTTGTCACCTTTCTCAACAAACTCTACACCCTTTTCGACAATATTATCAAGCAATATGATGTCTATAAGGTGATTCTCCTATAATGTTTTAATTTAATTTTTAATTTTAATCTTTAGGTGGAAACGATCGGTGATGCTTACATGGTGGTGTCTGGGGTTCCTCACTACAAAACTGAATCATATCACGCAGAACACATCGCCACAATGGCTCTGCATCTTCTTTCGGCTGTTCGCAACTTCACGATTCCACATCGACCACAAGTAAAACCTATTTACACGAAAGTTTTATCATTTCATCATTACTATTTATAGGATACTCTAAAATTGCGAATTGGATTGCATACGGGAAGTTGTGTAGCTGGAGTTGTTGGAAAGACGATGCCAAGGTTTGTTAGTCTTTAGAACTTTTTAACTTTCTCGATTAGATATTGTCTATTTGGTGATACGGTGAATACAGCAAGCCGAATGGAGAGCAATGGAGATGGTTAGTGGTTTCGGTCATTTATGACATCTTTTCTTATTTAGCTCTGAAAATTCATTGCTCCGAGCAAACGGCAAAAGTACTCGCCAACATTTATGGATTCGTCTTGGAAAAACGGGGAACTCTGAATATAAAGGTATTGGATTTGTAAATTTTCTTAATGGTGAATCTATTTTAGGGAAAAGGACCGATGACAACATATTGGTTACAAGGGAGAGAAGGACACGATTTTGCGGAGATGTGCGAACAACCAATAGAAGATGAGAGAATTGCGCCAGAGATCTTCCCAAGAAATACCCGACAACGGCTCAACTCTTCTTGGGGTATGCTAACAATAGGTCTAAATGTGATGTAAATCTTTAACTTTCAGCATTAAATCGCGACTCCCAATTGTCGCTATCGAGAGAGACATCATTCTTGAAACGTCTCGTCGATCGTGCCACAACTCGGACACCCCTTCATGATACGACTCATTATTCTACAGCTAACGGAGGTAATCTTCTTCATTAATCAATTTATTGTGCTTTTTTTAGTTGTTATGAATTTACAACACAGGTCATTCTACGCATAAACAAACACACATTTTTACTTTTCATTTTTTTTTAGGTTTTAGGCTTAGTTTTTTAACGTAATATTTGTTGGTATTCGTAATATTCGCTTGTATTGGTTTTAGACTTTGTGACTTTTATCGTGAATATATTTTTGGCTTTATCAACGAATAGTAACGATTCCAAATAATTTTAAAGACAAATAGGTTAATGAATAACAGTACAAATTTACAAGATTAGATAAAGTTTATGAACAAATTTGTAGGCGTTATCGCATCAATGGGTGCGTCGATTCGTGAAATGCCGAGGGTGAATGAAGAGTCACCGAAACAACAACAGAGAAAAGGGGGAGCAGCAATTACTAGAAGAAAACCATTTAGTAGACAAAGTGGATCAAGAAGAAGGAAAAATACGATTTTTGATGGAAATCCGGCGCTGAGAAAACGGTACGACCAATCATAGAATAACCAGACACAAAAACTAATCAATTCTTAATACATTACCATAATCTGATTGCAGATCCTCTTCTCTACCCGACAATGAATTTATCATTTGTGCTCACGAGATGAATGGCGGTGGATTATTCTCCCGTCCACTCCTTTATTCTCATAATAACACTTCAACAGCGCCCGTTTCATCAGCTTCTTTTGGCTCTCATGGTATTCAAGTGTCATCCACAAATTGTGGTGCACATTCATGTTCATCTTCTCCTTCTCGTTCGAATTATCCATCATACAAAGATTTGACAGATACTGTTCAACGGTTCGTTTCCTTTTCATCATTTTTGTGAAAGCAAAGTGGTTGTTGTTGGGTATTTGCAATAGAAATCACAAGTTTTTCATCAGCTTGTTCATTTTTTAGTAAGAATGCGGTGGTGCAAATGTATGAGACGTCGGCGCACTCAAGCCTGTAAGCTTTGAGACTATTTTGAAAGACTTTTTTTTGTTGATGTGTTGTAGAGGAGATTGTTTAGCTCATTTGATGATGATTCACTTTTAGAAAACGATCCCTTTCAATGGGTGACACAGTGTCGGTGATTGGAGATTTATTCATCGGTGGAGGTGATCCACATGATTATTCTGATTCGAAACCGCTCATTCGGCCACCAAGAAAAAGGGTTTGTTTGTAAAAGTATTGTTTGTTTGTAAAATGTTTGTAAAAAGTACAAGAAAAAGAAAATCGAAGACTCAAATTCAAGGAAAAGCAAAATTTGAAAACCAATTTGAAAACAAATTTGAAAACCAATTTGCACAATTTGCATTTTAAAGAATACCTATATTGATTTGCACAAAGGAAAGGTTATTTAGGAAAGAAAGAAATTGAACGATTCATCAATGAGACAACGCTCAAGAGATCGATCATTATCTGCGATGAGAAGATCATTACAAACAAGTATCAAAGAATCATCACCAGCAACGTCAATTACAAGAGTGAGTTGTGTGGAAAGAGATGGGGAAAGTGTGAATCGGCTACAGTAATTCATAAACTTTTTTAGTGGATATTACAGTAGCACAACTAGCTTCTACTGTATCCGTAAAGGTTACTGTAATATCATATCGTTGGAGATAGGGATACTTGTGAAGCTGTGTTGCACGCACATTGTTTTGAAGATTTGCATAGAAACTTTTTGAAATGAATTTTCTACAAAACGTTCGTAACATTTCATTTCTAACCCTTAGTAGCTTACGTTTCCCCAGATGTAAAGAATGTGGTCCGGGGATGGCACATCACATGGTTTCCCAGAACACCTGCGGGCAATAAAAAAATAAAACACGGTGTGACACAGGTCACTTCCCTGGCTGCGCATCACGAGCTAGCATGGGCGTCACCTACGGCGCAATTTAAAAGCAATTTGAAACCTTTTTAGCAGATTTCAAATGCATATTTGCACATATTATATGTAATGTAAAATTTTCAAATTAGGTAAGATGCTAATTAGGTAAGATGCGTGCAACAGATTCATGCTAATTAGCTAAGATGCCTGCAACAGATTCATGCTAATTAGGTAAGATGCGTGCAACAGATTCATGCTAATTAGGTAAGATGCCTACAACAGATTCATGCTAATTAGGTAAGATGCCTACAACAGATTCATGCTAATTAGGTAAGATGCGTGCAACAGATTCATGCTAATTAGCTAAGATGCGTGCAACAGATTCATGCTAATTAGGTAAGATGCGTGCAACAGATTCACAAGCAACGAGAAAGGAAACATAATAGAGTTCGAGAAAAAAGGAAGATAACAAGAGTTTCAGGTTTGGCGCCGTTTAACTTCATCATTTCTTGATACTCCTCCATATAATGATTTTGCTGATATGGAAGAGACATCACCACTACCATTGCATCGTAAAAGAAACAGTTTGTTTAAAGTTTAAATGACTTTATGAGAAAACATTGCAGATTCCTTGCTGCACGAGAATTCGAGTTCGTTATCGAAAATGAATGAAGATAAAGAGAAATCGAGATCGAGAGAACAAGAGGAATTCATCGAAACATCGATGATTTTAAACGAGAAAAAGGTTTGGGAAGGGATAAAGACTGAAGTGACTGTGATCCTTTTAGTGAGTTGAAGTTAAAGTTAAAGATTAAATTTCGATCATAGTAGGCAAGAATTGAATTGAAAAATTTGATTTGATTTGATTTGAGAAACAAGATTTGATTTGAAAAAGGTGATTTGAATCTTCAAATTCCAAAACTCAAATTCCAGGAAAAAGAAGTGATCGACGGTGATGAGATTCCACTTTTATCCACCAGAAAACACATCATTGTTTAATTCATTGTTTAATGCTCGGTACTTGCGCGTGCTTTGTGCTCTCGTAAACGTAAGCCTCTCTAGGTGTTGCTTCGGGTTTTCTCGAACACAAAGCACGCGAGTGACAATATTTGCGGAATTGAAAATTCTCTTTTAATGTAAATTCATGTACATCTTTTTTTTTTGTTTTTTGTTTATTGTTTATTGTTTATTGTTTATTGTTTATTGTTTTTCTTTTTCTTCTTTCTTTTTCTTTTCTTTTCTTTTCTTTTCCCAAGTGCTATCAAAAGTCTCATCTTGTTTATTTTGTGGGGGTATTTATGAAGTTGATCTTCTCTCAACAAATCTACTAGTCGCCATTTTTCTCGATGAAATCTAAACAAATACGAGTGAAATTTTACATAATTTTATACAATTTTAGGGAGTGGGACAAATGCGACCTTTTTTTGCGCACCCGGACATTTGCGCACCTTTTTTCCCGCACCTTGCCCATTAGCGCACCTTTTTTCGCGTTTTAAAAGCTCTAAAGCGTAAAAAAGCTCTAAAAAGCTAATATTAACCAATTTCTATTTCCAAAGGTTGTTTTTCTAGGTAATTTGAGGGTGTCGAATTCAAAATTTTGACATAACAGAGCGTGTGGAACCAATTTGAAAGACAAAGGCTGAAAGACAAAGCTAGATCAAATTACAGAAAATTGTTGAAAATTTTTCTCTTTGTATAACTCTGTCTGTTCGCTTCCACAAGCTCTGATATGTCAAAATTTCGATTCTACGCCCTCAAATTACCTAGAAAAACAACTTTTGGAATAGAAATTGGTTAATATTAGATATTAGCTTTTAGAGCTTTTTTTAAAACGCGAAAAAAGGTGCGCTAATGGGCAAGGTGGGGAAAAAAAGGTGCCCAAGTGTCCGGGTGCGCAAAAAAAAGCTCGCATTTGTCCCACTCCCCAATTTTATACAATTTTATACACCTTTCTCTCAAAAAAAACGGGTTCTTTTTCTTTTTCTTTTGCTTTTCCTTCTGGAAAATCCTTTCTGTGATTGCTTATTTTTTTGTTTCTTTTGGCTTTCTTTTTCTCTATCATTTATGTGAGAAATGATTTAATATTTTGATAAATCTTGCTTTTTATATCAAAATTCATCATATTATTTGTAGTTTTAAAGCCAAAAATTTTGTAACATTACGGTGACACCAGAAAAAGCCAGAAAAGGCAACTGAAAAAACTAGAGAAAGGTTTATTCTGAAAATGAGAAAATGATGAAAAATCAAATGAAATCAAATCAAAAGAATCTATTACGAAAGAAACAAAAACAAAACAAAAGATAAAGCCAAAGAAAAACTGAATTCGGTGCGGGATTTGTCGGTGATGAGAGGAGGGATTGTTGAGGCATGGCGCCTCTTTGTGCTGGCTTTATGCCGCCCTTGCCCGAAAGCGCGCCTGGAGGGGAGCAAGCGGGTTTAGAGCAACATGCCCCTTTTGCTGGCTTTATGCCGTCCTTTTGCGCCTCGTAAACGCGGCTTCTGGCAGCTGGGATAGCAGCTTAGTAACCCATTGCTCCTTTGTGTCCTTTATGCCGCCCTTTGTGCTGCCTCGTAAACGCGCGCTTTCTGGCAAACGCTGGAAAGCCATAGCGAGCGTCTACGAGTCAACCCCATCTTCTCAGCACCGTCAAAGCGTCAATGATAAATCTGTTTTTTAAAATTTCCTTTGCTTATTTTTTCCTTTTTCCTTTGCTAATTTCCTTTGCTTTCCATTCCTTCATTGGAAATTTCAAAAAACAGATTTATTTGTTGTAAACTACTATTTTTTGATTGATTATCAATCGAATAACTCGATATAAACTCAAAAAAAAACAGTTAGCAAGTCGAGAAAGCGAGAGAGAAAACGTAAAATTAAACAAAATTTAGAAAAAAAAACCGACTAAAACATGCAGAATGTAAACAAAAAAAAAGCAAAAAAAAACAAAAAAAACAAAACTTTTTTTTGATTCCTTTACTTTTATAACTTTTATTGAATTGATTTTGCATAAAATTTGAAAATTTAAATGGATATTCAATCATTTTTCTATTCAAATATCACAATGAATCTCAAAAAAGAAATCAATGAAAAAATGACAAAATGAAAAAAAATATGTATAGAAAGGCAAATGTTCTTTTTTTTTGGGAGAAATTATTAATATTAATGTAAAGATTGGAAGGTAATGGAAAAAAATTGTGACTCACGTGAAAATTGGACTTTTTTTTTATTATATTGGGACTAGAATTTCAGGGAAAGTTTGAAAAATTTTAAACGATTTTAGTACGATTTTAAAACGATCTTTAGAACGATCTTTGGAACGATTTTAGTACGATTTTAAAACGATCTTTGGAACAATTTTAGAACGATTCTAGAACGATCTTTGGAACGATCTTTAGAACGATCTTTGGAACGATCTTAGAACGATCTTTAGAACGATTTTAGAATGATCTTTAGAACGATCTTTAGAACGATTCTAGAACGATCTTTGGAACGATTTTAGAACGATCTTTGGAACGATTTTAGAACGATCTTTAAAACGATCTTAGAACGATCTTTAGAACGATCTTAGAACGATCTTAGAACGATCTTTAGAACGATTTTAGAACGATCTTTAGAACGATCTTTAAAACGATCTTTAAAACGATCTTTAGAACGATTTTAGAACGATCTTTGGAATCGATCTTTTTGTGTGAAAAGTCTTTGAGTTTTAGTGTAAAGAAATGAAAATCAATACTTCCAAAAATCCCTCAAAGCTCATTTAGGGGGGGGGGGGGATTTTTTCGGGCTTGCTAAAGCTTGGTAAAGCTTTTTGTTTTGCTTTTCGTTTTGAACTCGATAAAAGGAAATTTATGTGAAAATACTGAAATTTCGAGAATCACAGCGAGAAATTTTGGTTTCAATGAAGATTTGGCATTGTTGGGGCATTGTTTTTGGTTGGATTTGATTGGATTTGCTTGGATTTCTATTTGTTTTTTTTTTGTTTCTTTTTTTCAGCTATATTTGACCAAACTCGTCTCTCCATTCGCATTTTTGAATGAAACCTGAAAAAAAAAAGATTTATTGATTAGATTTGAAAGATTACCGTATTTCTTCGAATAGAAGACCGCGTAAAGAGTATGATCGCGTAGCAGTAGCACTCCTGCGTTCTTTTCTGCATAAAAGCTTTCAATGAAGTGCTATAGAGCTGGAAAATGACTCAAAAATGGCTCACAAAAAGCTGTTAGCTCATGTGGTATTTTTGAGCCATTTTCCAGCCCTATAGCACTTGATTGAAAGCTTTTATGTAGAAAAGAGATTTTAAAAAAGGGCTGCTACGCAGGAGTGCTACTGCTACGCGATCATACTCTTTACCCGGTCTTCTATTCGAAGAAAGAAATACGGTAGCTGCGTTTCGAAAAAGCTTGAAAGCTTGAAAAACGAAAATTATTGTTATGGTTTAGCTTTTATTTAAAAAAAAAAAGCGAGCAACCAGCAACCGCAATCGACAAATGTTAGAGGGGGAAAATGAGCTTTTTCTTTTCTTTCTTTTCTTTCTTTTCTTTCTTTTCTTTCTTTTCTTTCTTTCTTTGTTTTTAAAGAAGAAATTTCCCTTTTCTGACATAAAGCACGGAAATTTTAGGATTATTTTAATTGAAAATTTTTAACTTTTCAATCAAATCTAAGCAAGATTTTTCCTTTTTAAAGCTTACACTAGAAACCCCACCAGATCCCCGACATTGTTTGACTGGAAACGGAGTGCTTCTGATGCAGAATTTCATGGTGATTGCGAATCTGTAATCAGAATTTCCTAAAGCCTCAAGCAAAAAAAAGACATTCAACTTTTTCTTTTCCTGGCACTTTGTCGCATCCAAGTCAATCGGTATGGAATAGCTAGAAGGTAGCTAGAAGGTAGCTAGAAGGTAGTTAGAAGGTAGCTAGAAGGACTGCGTGAAAAAGGATCATATTCCATACCGATTGACTTGGATGCGACAAAGTGCCATGAAAAGAAAAAGTTGAATATCTTTTTTTTTGCTTGAGGCTTTAGGAAATTCTGATTACAGATTCGGAATCACCGTGAAATTTAGTTCCTTTATAGTTCCTTTATAGTTCCTTTATAGTTCCTTTATAGTTCCTTTAAAGTTCCTTTATAGTTCCTTTATAGTTCCTAAATTCTGCATCAGAAACACTCCGTTTCCAGTCAAAAAATGTCGCGGATCTGGTGGGATTTTCTTGTTAATATGTTAATATAAAAGATCACACCTGTTTTTTTTCCGTTTTACATATCGAATCGATCGAATTGCAGATGGAGAACGAGAGTTGAGTCACACACACACAAAAAAGCATTGAACATACACAATTTAAACATGAAAATAATCGAATTAACAATCTCAGGCTACATTTAAACATTTAAGAATAAAACGGACACGATTTTCTGAAGGCGAACAATGATTAGATGATGACAAAGGAAGGAACATTTTTTGTTTAAAGAAGACGAAAAATCAAAGTGGACTGTAAAGCTCACACGGTGAATGAATGAATAAATGAATGAATAAATGAGTGAATAAATGAATGATTTGAATGATTTGAATGATTTGAATGATTTGAATGATTTGAATGATTTGAATGAATGATTTGAATGATTTGAATGATTTGAATGAATTAATGAATGAACGAATGAATGAATTAATGAATGACTGATCGAATGAATGACTGATCTAGATCTAGATCTACATTTTCATAATCCAAGACTTTGTGCTAAACCAGGTGCAGCCAATCCGACCTGTAATGTTCTGCCTTGTAAAGCGGTTCCATTCAATGCGGCGATTGCATTTATCGCCTCTTCATATCCGACCATTGTCACAAAGCCGTAACCCTTGCATTTCCCAGTGGCGAAATCTCGAATTATCTGAAATTTCGAGGATTTTCAATCGATTTTTGATGAAATTTGATACTAACGCGGGAATAATCTCAGCTTAAAGTTCGGAATCGACTGGAAACACAGTGCATAAAATAGAAGCGGCAATGGCGAACATACGCCAAAAAAATTAGCCGCTAATAGTCACGGAGACGCGAGGAATCTGGCATGCAAAATCGGGATTCAAAACTGATGCAAACTGATTATAAGGCTTCTTCCGCTCTCGGCAACGGATGAGCTCGTGGCCTAGTGGGTAAAGGCATGTCTGTCAAGCGAGGATTTTGCCCCGGGCCAATCCGCCCACATGCAAAATTTGCATGTGAATTGAATCCGAGGGCAAAAATAGGACCGCTGCCTCGGAGCCACCCCAGGCCAAGCCATCTGTTGCCAGGGGAAAGGCCTATAATCAGTTTTGGAACGTTTGAATCCGATTTTGCATGCCCAGATTCCTCGTGTCTCCGTGGCTATTAGTGGCTAATTTTTGTGGCGTTTTTGTTCGCCATTGCCGCTTCTATTATGCACTGTGTTTCCAGTCGATTCCGAACTTTGAGCTGAGACCATTCCCTTGTTAGCTTATTTCTGATTCATTTCTGAATATCTTCATTACTTTTAACCAACCTTAACACTAGCCACTGCACCAAACGGCCCAAACAATTGCCATAAAGTTGAATCCTCGACTTCTGGACCCAAATTGTAAACGAAAAGGCAAAAACCAGCATTGGCTGTCGATAGATCCAATCCTGAAGTTTATTTGGGTATTTAAAAGAATATTAAAAAGAATATTAAAAGGATATTTAAAAGGATATTAAAAAGGATATTAAAAAGGATATTAAAAAGAATATTTAAAAGGATATTAAAAAGGATATTAAAAAGGATATTTAAAAGAATATTAAAAAGAATATTTAAAAGAATATTAAAAAGAATATTTAAAAGAATATTTAAAAGAATATTTTAAAAGAATATTTTAAAAAAATATTTAAAAGAATATTTTAAAAAATATCTAAATAATTACATGAATTTTCTTCTATTATTAAGGTTAAAACTGATTTTTAAGGTTTCTTCTATTATTAAGGTTCGATCTTTCAAAACTAACCACCAGCTTGTAATGGAGCCATTGTTGGATAGCCGGCTGTGGCTGCGGTCATTGTTGGAACTAAAGAACTTTCTTTTTTCTTTCTGTAGGATATCACTTTTTAAATAAACCTATTTCACGCAAAATAAACCCTTTTTAAAGACTTTTATGCAACTAAATTATTGTGAAAAAGAAAATCGAAAAGCAGTTAGTGACTTTTGAATCTTTTGATCATGCAAAAAGCATGGAAAATAAAAGAAAAAAAGAAAACTATTTAAAGGTTAGATAAAGGAGGAAATGAAAATGAAAAGAAAACACAAGAATTGAATAAATAAAGAATAAATAAAGATTAAAAAATGACTTGTGCCCCATTGAAACGCCGCCAGATCACCCTCATAGCTGCACTGCAGCGCTGAGGCTGTTTGAGCTAAAAATTGAGGAGAATATGGATAGAATAGCAATGAGATTTCGATTGAGAAAAAAGAATATGGTCAATTTTTCAAGATATTATTGCAGCCTTTAGACTCACGAGAGACGGCGGCGAGTTGCATGAGAGCGCTTGCCGTGAAAATGTCTTGAGCCGGAGCAGCGGCTGGGGCAACGCCTGCTAATGGAGAATATCTGAAATTCGGGATTTTAGAATGAGAGAAGATCGATCGGGTTCAATTTCTCTAAATTCTTTACCATTCATTTCTTTACTTTATTACTAATGCCCGTGATTTGATTTCTAGAAAGATTTTCTGAACATTTGATTTGAATGACTTGATTTGAATTCTCTGAAGGCCTCCCCCTCTGCCTTATCTTTCCGCTTTTCGCCTGGGCAAAGAGACCGTCGATAGTTCAGTGGCAGAGCATCAAGTTAGTGAGCGGAAGGGTGAGAGTTCGATTCCCCTTGCGGTCAAACTTTTCATTTTTTTATTTTATTTTTATGCTTATGTAAATTCTGAATCCTTTTTCTTATCTGAATCCTTTTTCTTACCTGAATCGTCCATTTGTCGTTGTATGATGAATCGGGCCTCCAGCTGTTGCCAATCTTCGTCCACCACTAACCGCTTGATTCAGCAATGCTAATGGCATCAAATTCGACGCCACTTGAGCCACCTGAGATTTTTATAGTCAATATTTTCTTCAAATCCTTCAAATCCTCACCGCAGTCACATCAGCAAGCGCATTTTTGTGCGAATTTGTCGCGGGATTGTTCGCGAATTTGACCGTGATCTGTTCAGTGCATCCAGACGGGGTTGTGCCGTGAAGAGTCTGAAACAATCGTTTAGTTTTCTTATTTCTAAGTCGACGATGAAAAGCAAAGCTTCAATCTCGTTTACCTGAATCGCAATATCGGCTTCTCCTTTCTTGTCAAAGCGAACAAATCCAACTCCTTTCGATAGGCCTAAAGAACAAAAGTAACCTTTTTCCCAAGAAAACGTTTTCTACCAGTAATATTATCCGATAAAATTCTCGATGTGATAATCTGTCCGAATGGTCGAAAGATTCCCTCCATTTCCTTTTGTGTCATCGATTTCGGAATGCCCGATACATAAAGATTTGCGCCTTTAATCGATTCGTTTGATGGACGAGCATAGGAAACCTGAATAAAGAGTTTTATAATTCTTTTACGATTTGATTTCGATTTGATTTCGATTTCGATTTGATTTGATTTCGATTTCAATTTCATTTCGATTTCATTTCAATTTCATTTCAATTTCATTTCGATTTCGATTTGATTTCGATTTGATTTCGATTTCTATTTGATTTCAATTCATTTCTATTTGATTTCAATTCATTTCAATTCATTTCGATTTCATTTCAATTTCATTTCGATTTCATTTCAATTTCATTTCAATTTCATTTCAATTTCATTTCAATTTCGATTTCATTTCGATTTCATTTCGATTTCATTTCGATTTCATTTCGATTTCATTTCGATTTCGATTTCATTTCAATTTCGATTTCATTTCAATTTCGATTTCATCATTTTTCTAGATTTTCGTTGATTTCCATTTCCCCAAAAAAAGCTTCTCGTCTTTTTTTGTTTTTTTCTGTTTTCAAGTGTAAAATCGCTTGAATTCCCTATGGGGAAAGCTGAATTTTTTAGAATGCCGTTTTTAGAGAACCCATTAAAGAACCTCAATAAAGATAAAACGCATTAAAATGAATTGAAGAACACTTGCGAGCTTGGTTCGAGCAAACACCGTTCGTTTAGGGCTAGAAAATATTACAGAAACTCGACGATCCCCCCTTTTCCCCCTTATATTTTCCCCCTTTTTCTTCCCCTTTTTTTTCTTCCCCCTCTTTTTCCCCTTCCTATAATTTTCGTTTCCTATGATTCTCCCATTTTCTTTCCTCTAACCCACCAATTTTTATTCAATCTTGAGAAAAATAAAATTTCAGCTTTATTATTAAAAGAAATATTTATAAAAATGAAAAAAAGAAAGAAAACGAAAATTTAAAAGTTTATTTAAAACTAAAGAAATTTGATATAAAATTAGAGTGGATTTTGGGGAAATGACAAAAATGAAATTTTTGAGTGATTAAACCTACCGTAAATACTGTAATAGTACCCCACCCGCCTCGTACAGTCGCGTAGTCGCAAAAGTTTTTTAGTATTTCATTTTTTTTCAAAGCTCCCGGACTTTCAAAAAATGCGTTTTTGGTATCAAAAAAATAGCTGAAATTCAGGGCTATTTTTTGATATTTGTATTGCTTTTGTAGCATAAACCAGTGTCGAGAAAAACGCGTTCAAAACTAGACTACGCAACACTCCGCAACACTCCGCACCGTCATTATGGGGGTGGGGTACTATTACAGTGTTTACGGTAGGAAATGAAGATGGAAAAAAAAGGAGCTTCGAACAGAAACTTTCTAGAAAAGTGATAAAAGCCAAAAGATATCACTCCTTTCTTTATAACGAAATATTTGTGGGAAAAATGCTGTGCGCTTTAGTGCTCTGATAAATGCGACTTTCTGACGCACTCACCGAGTGGGCAGAGCGTTAAAGGACACGCATTCACTCACTCATTTTCTCGACTCAAACGAATATCTTTTAACTTCTGTTTTAACTTCTCTTTTCATTTTTCTCTTTCTCTTTCTCTTTCTTTTTCTCTTTCTCTTTCTTTTCCCTTTCTTTTCCTTTTCCTTAATCCATAAACTTACTTTAATCGTTTTATTTTGTAGTCTCAAACCATTAAATGAAGCCATTGCTTTGATTGCATCTTCTTCTCGAATATAGTTAACAAAACCATAACCGAGACTTTGGCCTAAACGAAAAAGAAAATCAAATGAAATAAATGATGAAACAAAAGATGAAAAGAAGTTTCAAATTAGAGCACGTCAAAAAGTAAAAGTCGACAAAAAATGACGACAAAAATGAGAGATTGATTTTGGTGTGAGAAAATGCAAAATCTATCGAGTTACTTTCTCTCTTTACTTTAGTGATTTTAAATGAAAATTTTAAATGAAAATTTTAAAAAGAAAAACTTAAAGATTTCTTATAAAATCCTTATAGAATATCAGATTTCAATGTAAAACCTAAAACTTTTACCTGTCATTTTGTCACGAACGAGTTTACACGATTCAATTTCACCAATCGATGCGAACAGGGATCGAACCTGAAAGTTTGTTGGATCTGTTTGATCGGTTTGATCGGTTTGATCTGTTGGATCTGTTTGATCTGTTGGATCGGTTTGATCTGTTGGATCTGTTTGATCGGTTGGATCTGTTTGATCGGTTGGATCTGTTTGATCGGTTGGATCGGTTTGATCTGTTGGATCTGTTTGATCGGTTTGATCGGTTGGATCTGTTTGATCGGTTTGATCGGTTTGATCTGTTGGATCTGTTTGATCTGTTGGATCTGTTTGATCGGTTGGATCTGTTTGATCGGTTGGATCTGTTTGATCGGTTGGATCTGTTTGATCGGTTTGATCGGTTGGATCTGTTTGATCGGTTTGATCGGTTGGATCTGTTTGATCGGTTTGATCGGTTTGATCTGTTGGATCTGTTGGATCTGTGATCTGTTGGATCGGTTTAATCTGTTTAATCTATTGGATCTGTTTAATCTGTTTGATCGGTTTGATCTGTTTAAACTGTTGGATCTGTTTAATCTGTTTAATCTGTTTAATATCCATAATATTAAACCTCTTCTTGACTCATCGTTTGCGGCAAATAATTGATGATGAGATTCGTTTTGCTTTCACCGATCTCCGAATTCGGAGAACACGAATTGTGATGAGAGGAGACTGATGGGGAAGAGTACTGAAAAAGTATAAAACTAAAAAGAATCGAAATGGCAAAATCATTGCTATATTATAATATTGATGCTCAACTTCTGTAAGCTAAAAAGTTGTAAGAAATTTGAATGCAGTTTTTTAAGTTGAATCAACAGAAAGACCCTGTATGGTATTTTCTAACCGGATTCTAAGACTCTAAGACAGACCAGCCAAGGCCAGCCAAGGCCAGCCAAGGCCAGCCAAGGCCAGCCAAGGCCAGCCAAGGCCAGCCAAGGCCAGCCAAGGCCAGCCAAGGCCAGCCAAGGCCAGCCAAGGCCAGCCAAGGCCAGCCAAGGCCAGCCAAGGCCAGCCAAGGCCAGCCAAGGCCAGCCAAGGCCAGCCAAGGCCAGCCAAGGCCAGCCAAGGCCAGCCAAGGCCAGCCAAGGCCAGCCAAGGCCAGCCAAGGCCAGCCAAGACCAGGCTAAGACAAGCCAAGACCAGGCTAAGACAAGCCAAGACAAGCCAAGGCCAGCCAAGACAAGCCAAGGCCAGCCAAGGCAAGCCAAGACCAGCCAAGGCAAGCCAAGACCAGCCAAGGCCAGCCAAGACCAGGCTAAGACAAGCCAAGGCCAGCCAAGGCAAGCCAAGACCAGCCAAGGCCAGCCAAGACCAGCCAAGGCCAGCCAAGACCAGGCTAAGACAAGCCAAGGCCAGCCAAGACCAGGCTAAGACAAGCCAAGGCCAGCCAAGGCAAGCCAAGACCAGCCAAGGCCAGCCAAGACCAGGCTAAGACAAGCCAAGGCCAGCCAAGACCAGGCTAAGACAAGCCAAGACAAGCCAAGGCCAGCCAAGGCCAGCCAAGACCAGGCTAAGACAAGCCAAGGCCAGCCAAGGCAAGCCAAGACCAGGCTAAGACAAGCCAAGGCCAGCCAAGGCAAGCCAAGACCAGCCAAGACCAGGCTAAGACAAGCCAAGACAAGCCAAGGCCAGCCAAGGCCAGCCAAGACCAGGCTAAGACAAGCCAAGGCCAGCCAAGGCAAGCCAAGACCAGCCAAGACCAGGCTAAGACAAGCCAAGACAAGCCAAGGCCAGCCAAGGCCAGCCAAGACCAGGCTAAGACAAGCCAAGGCCAGCCAAGGCAAGCCAAGACCAGCCAAGAATAGACAAGAATCGAAATGGGAATCAAAAGGACAATCAAAAGGGCAACCAATATATGATAATCTCCCTGTTCAACTTCTAGAAACTTTATCCTTTTGAGCAATCCTTTTGAGCAGTCTATCTTTCCTTACCATGCTTAGATATTAGAATATTGAATGGAAAAGTATATGGTGATGGTTGAATGGATACAGATCCCCCCGCTTCTCATTCCTGGATATCCGATTACCAAAAGTCTACCGACATCGATATTTCGAGTGTGAAAAGTGTCATCTTCTTTTGTTTACCCAAAAATGGGTCTCCTTTTACTTTTCCTTTTCTTTCCCCCATTCAATGATATTTGAAAGGTTTTCCCCCTTTCTTTTCAACAGATATCCTATTTCACATCACTCTAAATTAACCCTTTTCCCCGCAATTTTAGAGAATTTTAGAGTCCCCATTCGAATACCAGCAGGGAAATTTTAAACTTTATTTATACATCATTTGCATAAGCAACTAAAACTAAAAATTAAAGCTTATTTAATGGTTTATAAATGCTATAAATTATGAAAGCAGTACAGTACCCGATGGCGGATCAAAAAGAGCATTTTCTTTACCAAAAATTTCTTCCACTTTCACGTAAATAGAGATATCTGAATCCAGAGATATCTAACTCCAGAGATATCTGAATCCAGAGATATCTAACTCCAGAGATATCTGAATCCAGAGATATCTAACTCCAGAGATATCTGAATCCAGAGATATCTAACTCCAGAGATATCTAACTCCAGAGATATCTAAATCCAGAGATATCTAAATCCAGAGATATCTAAATCCAGAGATATCTCAACCCAAAGATATCTAACTCCAGAGATATCTAACTCCAGAGCTATCTAACTCCAGAGATATCTCAACCCAGAACATTAATTTCTATCTTTAAAACTTGCAATAACTTCCCCTAACTCGAATCCTTCAACGGTATTTATGTGTGAAAGTTTTTCAATTTTCATCCAAATTTTCTGCTTCAAAATGTTCCCCAGTCTCAATTCTTCTCACTTTCCTTTTCCTTCAAGTATCCCCTTCAATATTTCCTTTTTTTTTCATTCAAGAGCTTCTTCACTCCCCACTTCCATCAGCTTCTTCCTTTCTTCCTTTCTTCCTTTCTTCCTTTCTTTTTTCTATACCTGTTTTGGGTAACACTTGTCACCTTTCCTCTTTCCCCAATCCACTCATCTTTTTTGTAACCAATTACATTCGCCCGTTCGTTCAAAGAGTTAAAAGTCAACCACTTAACAAATTTCGATGTTTTTTAGTCAAAAACGAGTCTTTTCAGAAGGGAAAATTCTCAGATTTGAAAGAATTTGTAGAAAAGAGTTTTGAGCTATGAATTTGCTTTCAACAAGTTTTTGTTTCTTTAAACTTTTACCCAAACTTGCCCAAATGAAAAGGTTTTGTCGATGGGTTTGTTTGAAAGAATTTGTAGAAAAGAGTTTTATCTAAGCTTTTTGATTCTGAATTTCCTTTAACAAGTTTCCATTTATTTTGTTTCGTTCCTTTTTTCCATTTTAACAAGTTTCTATTCCGTTTTCCCCCAAAAATCGAGATGAAAAAAAAGGTTTGTCGATGGGTTTGTTTGAAAGATCACATCAGATCTCTCATAAATGAGCAGAAAAGATGCATTTCGAATGAATTTTTTCTTTTTTTTTTAAAGCCACGAATGAGTCAAGTGTTGATGGGAAAGGGAAAGGGAAAGGAAAAGAGGAAGGGAAAGAGAAAGAAAAGGGAAAGAAAAGGGAAAAGGGATCACTTCTGAATTGAAATAGTTGACATTACTGGTGACACTTTTCATCAATATTTTACCCAAAAAGAAAAAGGGGCGAATTCGTCAAGAGGATGATGGATTGAATCAATCGTTCTCCTCATGTAAGTCATAGAATTTGAGAGCTTCAAAAAACAGACAACAAAAATGAATGGAAAAGAATGGAAATGGATGGAAAAGAATGGAAGAGAATGGAAATGAATGGAAATATACGTTCCTAGGTGTAAACGGATGTGGACTAGAAGTTGGGTTAAGTTAAAAAGAGTTAAAAAGAGTCCCTTTTGATATCCCGCCATCACTAACACCCCGACAACCCAACTCAACTCCTCCAAAGTATTAGAGGGGAGTCCCTGTGAAATGATCGACCTGTACTGCAGTTGCATAGACTCGGAGCTGACAGAAATCAATGGAAATAATTGGAAAAGAATGGAGATCAATGGAAATGAATGGAAATCAATGGAAAATCAATGAAAATCAATGAAAATCAATGGAAAGTCAATGGAAAGTCAATGGAAATCCATGGAAGTCAATGAAAATCAATGGAAAAGGTTGGAGATCAATGGAAATCAATGAAAATCAATGGAAAAGAATGGAAATCAATGAAAATCAATGGAAATCAATGGAAAGTCAATGGAAATCCATGGAAGTCAATGAAAATCAATGGAAAGTCAATGGAAATCCATGGAAGTCAATGAAAATCAATGGAAAGTCAATGGAAATCCATGGAAGTCAATGAAAATCAATGGAAAGTCAATGGAAATCCATGGAAGTCAATGAAAATCAATGGAAAGTCAATGGAAATCCATGGAAGTCAATGAAAATCAATGGAAATCAATGAAAATCCATGGAAGTCAATGAAAATCAATGGAAATCAATGAAAATCAATGAAAATCAATGGAAAGTCAATGGAAATCCATGGAAGTCAATGAAAATCAATGGAAATCAATGAAAATCAATGAAAATCAATGGAAAGTCAATGGAAAGTCAATGGAAATCCATGGAAGTCAATGAAAATCAATGGAAAAGATTGGAGATCAATGGAAATCAATGAAAATCAATGGAAAAGAATGGAAATCAAAAGAATCATTTCCACTTGATGCTATTAATGCTCAGAGAACAATTCTATAGTTACGAAATTCGTATTTTGACAAAACTACCATAATCCTAAGCTTATAGACAATCATTAAACAAAAACAAACATCACCTGTACATTGTTATTGAGTTGTTGTTGTTGTAATACAAGATGTGACTGAATGAGAGTGTCCATATTCACTCTCAATCACTCCAATCACTCTCAAGCACTCCAATTCACTCCAATTACTCCTGAAATTTCAATTCATGAATGATAATAGAACTGTAGCAGACAAAAACGACAAAAAGAACGAGAAAAAGAACGAGAAAAAGCACTAGAATGAAAACGCGCACCATCTGGTACACTTCAAATGATAAAGGATAAAGATAATAAAGGAAATAATGATAAAGGAAAAAGATAATAAAGGAAAGATAGCTATGCTAGATAGATAGATAGAGAGGGTTCGTTTGAAAGGCTTGAAAGATTTGAAAGGTTTGAAAGGTTTGAAAGATAGAGGGTTCGTTTAAAAGAGTAAAACCAGAAAGAAAAATAAGCAATTGTTTATGAATCAAATGAATTTAATAGTTGAGCAAGAAAATGAATTTAAACAAAAAGCAATGAATGATCGAAAGATTTGCAATTTCTTTTCCCTTTTTTTCCATTTTCATTTCTCGTACTTTTGGACGTTTCATAAACGTCCAAAAATTCTCCTTTTCTTTTCTTTCTTTTTCTTCTTCTTCTTTCCACGAATTCCCCTCAAAATCTAAACAAACTTTCGCTAAAATGGAAGAAATTTACTCAATTTCATATTTTAAATCAATATTAAACTTTAAAAATGATTTTTTTTTTTTCTTGAAATTTTTCTTAAATTAACTCAAATCTCAAGAGGATTTAAAAGAAAAAGAAAAAAGAAAGAAGAAAGAAAGAGAGAAAGAAGAAAGAAAGAAAGAAAGAAAGAAGAGCAAAAGGAAAGAAAGAAGAAAGAAAGAAAAGAAAGAAAGAAAAAAGATATTAACAGCAAAATCAGACTCAAGAACTTCAGTAAAACCCTTCTAAAACTCTTCTAAAACTCTATAGTCAAAAGATTGAGCATGAGAATGCTGTGATTGAAAGAAAGAAAGCTCAAAGAAAGCTTGTTTACAAGTTTCAAACCTCATTGCCTTTATTGTTTGCACAATTTCATAGATTTAAGTGTACCGCGTTTTGCCCCTCCCCTCATCCATGCATGCATCATTTTGAGTCATTCAGTCAGTCAGTTCAGTTCAGTTCTTCACGATCCACATCGTCCCCCCTCCCCATCGCCTTCAATTGCTTAGCGACCGGAAGTAACGGCTCGACGGGCCTTCTCCTTCTCCTTCTCCTTTCCTCCCCGTCCCCCCATTCCACTCTAACGCCAAAAATCCACCATAAAAATTTTCACTTCCCCCCCTTTTTCCCTATTCGAGAAATCCACGCTCGAATCCCATACACAAACATCGATTTGCAAATTGTGGACAAGGAAAACGAATGAACAAATGAAGTTGGCAAAAATTGGCAAAAATTGACGTTTTCCTTTTCATCCAACAAGCTAAGCTAATCTGAATTTACCTTTGTGCCATTGTTTTTTTTAACAGTTCTTCATTTAAACCTTCAAAACAATCTCTTTGATGAATAGTTTTGACAAAGAATTGCTAAAATTTGAACACAAAATCAAAGATCTGAAGAATTGCCATCTGAACACAAAATCAAAGATCTCAATGGGAAAAGGATGGACAGGAAGGAGAAGTCGAGGAGAAGTCGAGGAGAAGCCGTAAAGTAGATTATTTAATTGAATCTTCAGGAAACTCAAAATGCACATAGTTGATTATTTAATTGGTTTATTTTTGAAAAAAAAAAAGGATTTTTGAAGGGCCGGGATAAGTCACGGATTGAAATTTCGTGGAAAAGAGAGGAAAAAGCACGAGAAAGAAAAAGCACATAGCAACCAGAGGAAGAGTAGAAATGGGAAGAGAAGGGAAGAGAAGGGTAAGAAAGGAAGGAAAAGAAAGAGAAGACAATAGAATGAAGGGATATGATGCGATTGGTGTTGAGTAAAAGAGGCAATGAAAAATGGTCCAAGTTTTTCGAAGTCGAAGAAGTTTCTCAAAAGCCCAAATACATTTTTGACTTTGCTTTCTAACTGACTAAATATCTATCTAAATAAAAGCTACACAGTAATGTAAGCTTTATTTTAAAACAATTATGGTTTAAAGTTTAGTTGACTAGTAAGACTAGTTGACTAGTTTTTG